GATATCAAACTAGTATATATAAAACTTACAATAATATTATAAGAATTTTACTTCTTTTTTTGTATCTAATTAGATCATTTACCTTTGAAAGTTTGGTCTGAAATTATGACGAATATACTTCGAATTGATTTACCTTGGCTTACATTACGTTCAAAACTTGTACAAGAAGATAAACAAGGAATTCTTTATAATACTATGTTCGATGAATATACTGTAGATAATACGAAATTTCAATTAGTATAGAAAAACAAAAAGAAAAGAAGGAATTATAAATTAATATTGTATTCTTGTTGTTTTAGTCTAATTCTGGTATTATGGAAGATTTATATACGTGGAAAGATTTGCTTATACGATTATTTCATTTAATAGATCAGGATCATTCAGGTATGGATTCTTTTATTTTGATGGGAATATTTATTTATTTTATTTTATAGGTTTTATAAGTCCTAATGAATTTTCTGATGTTCTCAAACTTTTACTTTATGATGAAAATGATACCGGTGATATAAATGAAGCATATATTGAAGAACTTAGTTCTGCTATGGATTTAGATAAAAATGGACAAATTGATATTAATGAATTTCTTGGTAAAAGATGTTCATCTATAGTCGATTATATTAGATATAATCATTAGTGTGATTAGATTTTTTTTTTGATAGATCGAAGTCAAATTAGAAGTTTATAAATTTTATTTCATTGACGAACACTTTGTCAACTTTCTAGACAAATTACTATTCTATTTTCAACGAATCGACAAAGATAAAAAATAAGAATTCATCGAATTTAAAACCTTCAAATATGATACGTTCTACTCGAAATATCTACTGTTGCATTCAAATTCGATTTCGATTTGTCTAAAGTCTTTCCGAGGCATCGAATTTATGTAATCTCTAAGTAAATTCACATATGGGCTACATCATTCGTTACGGGACGTGACTTTGAACACATATATCTCGTGATAATAAACTTTCTTAGAGTTGTTTTTATATGCAATATGTATGTTAAGTTACTTTAGATACTATGAAGAAGTTAGCATTAGAGATCTGTGTTCAAAGATGTTATCAGTGAAAAACCCTAACGTTAATAACGTAACAAGAAAAGAACATCGACGTTCACATCAAACATTTTAGTTTGAAAAGCCTCAGAAATTGAGGACATATTCTTAGAAATTACTCCAAACGGTACAAATCTTTCATGAGAATTTCTACATGATGGTAAGATGAAAATTTTGTTTCAAAATTGTTGAAATCTCTAGAAAACTGTTTTCAATAGGCAGTTTTTCGGACTTCGATTTCGTTTAAAATCTTACCACAGATGTGATTCGTATTGCAGAGTATATCCTGAAATTTTCAACTTTTTCCTGGTATGGTTAAAGAGATATTTTCTAATTAGTTATATGATTAATTAACTAATATTAATTAATAGTTAGCTAAGAGAACCAAAGTCATATGAAAGCTGAGTATGTTTCGTTGTGCCCGAAATGTTCCATAGACACTTTGTAATTATTTAATGTAATAAAGAAAATCCTTATTTCTCTTTATATAATTTCATATTTGCAGCATGAATTGAAAAAACCTATTGAATTAATATTTTGTGCATAATATATTTGAGATTTTTTTTTTATATTCTAGAAAGTTTTCGCATTGCTAATATGAACAATTCTCGAAAAAAAAATCAATCTGGATCATCAGAGAAACAGGTTCAAAATACGAACCTTTAATCAAATGGAATAGTATTGAACAATAAAATAAGTTCATTGGATATTAAACATAACACAATAACTATACGCACAACATATTTAATCCTCAAATCAATTAAATATGAATCAATTAATCTGCTTTTTTTTATATAATTGTTCTTGTTCATATTTTCATATATTAAGAAGAAGATTTTATTTTTCTCATAATTTTATAATTAATCAGCGAACAAAAAAAGAAAATTGATCTATTATTTTGTTTTTAAGAATGATTGATAAAGACATATTTCGATTATGGACATGCTACATCTCATAGAAGATTATGTACATACAAATATTTTTTCGAGTACTCAAATGTTATATATTGATCAAAAGTAGAAATGTGTTGTAGTTACATATGAATCGAAAATGGGTACGATTAGGGACGGTGGAATGATTTTCGACTAGGATAGATTCAACTTTTCAGCCTAATCGGTTAGAAGAACGAGTGGAATATTTGTTTTCTTTATTTGTTTATAATGACAAACACTATAGATTTTCTTGCTAGATTTAAATTCTGTATACATGTAATAACTATGAAATATTTTGTTATTTCGAACGAAATCAGAAACTAACAAAGTAACAGAGAAATGGTGCTGGAAAAAAAGAAACAATAAGGCACGCTGCCCTTTTGTTCAAACTACGGAGATTTGTTATGACACTCGATCTACTGATTATATAGGACTCTCACAGGATAGTAGTCTCAGCTTGTACCTGTTTACTCATTTTCACTATGATCTAATTAACTGTCTTAGGGTTCATTCAGGTCATCGTTTTGCTGATGATCTTAGCGTACTGATTAAACCTCATACCATGACACACTTAGCTGAAATGATTTAGTATGTGGAATGTGAAGGTATCCGAATTTGTAATCAAATGTATATTGTCCCAATAATTAATACACATCTTATTCTTATTCTCTGTCTAGAGAATAACAATGTAAGGGCGGTCAGTCATCATCTATCTAGACCAACGTACATTATTAACAACAACGGTCATGTGTTCGGTCTCTCATCTATTTACTCATGTCTTCTCTTTCCATTTCCTTCTCTCGTCTCGGACATATATAAGGAAAGGCAAGAAAAGAATAGTTAAAGACTGTTGGGCTAGTATGTGGAATAGTAACACATAACCAATAGTACTCTTATAGTAAACGATTTGTGTTGAAATAAAGTAAAATAGTAACTCAATTATACTCCAAAAATTGGAAGCAGCCTATAAATATATCTAAAACTGTAGCACAGTTATTTCATATACAAATAAGAAGACTAAAACTGAACATAATGATGAACGGAGAAAATATTGAATTGGTTAAAGGATTTAAGTATCGGGGGTTCGTACGGGCGGATACACTACCCTTGAAATTCACAGTCCACCACTATATAGGAAATACTCAGAGATCACGAGGAAAATTGAAATGGTTAAAATTCGAAAGAAATGTATCGTAGAAGAGACTCAGGAACAGATATTACAACAAAAATCCTGTGTAGAGCATTGCTGTCCCTTCGTCTCTACATATAATCTTTCTACTATCATCTTTGAACACTATTTAGATTTTTACGTTAAAAAATATATTCAAAGATTGAGAATCATACATTCAGCCGATCTTGGATCCTCACTTTTTTACAACGACATCTTCGTTTGAGACACGTATCACAAAAGAAAAAACATTCATCGCGGTCATTTGAAAATTATTAAGAAGAAAAAGGATACGACGTAATACATCTCTCTCTCTCTCTCTCTCTCTCTCTCTCTTTTTCCCTTTGCCTCCTTTCCCCTCCGTTCTTCTTCTTTCATGTACACATTTTTCTTTTACTTCGAGACACTTCTGATTATTTGAGTTTCACTATGTCCTTGTATATCCTTATAGCCAAGTATGAATATTTGTCAAAATTATATTACTACTAAACTATGGAATGCTTCACATTAATAATGTCGCTTCTAACTTGAATACTTATATTTCTTTTTCGATTATCATCTATCATCATGTAAGCGCTTCCTAGTATAATACCATCAACCAAAAAGAACAAATGACCAGTCCAGAAATAATGCATGATAAGTTGATATAGATGAGCAAGAAGAGTTGGCTGGATATTTTGAAATATTTGTTCGATGAAAACTTTTATCTTCAAACATGTACGTTGATTTTCACTGATGCTATTCTGATTCTAAGTTGCATTGTGCAACTTAGCTGTTATTGTCGTGCCATTTTCATAGGTAAATATTTATTTTCTTCCTTCTCTTATTTCTGACATCGTTGTATAAATGGTTAAAAGAAAAGAAAAGAACAGAAATCTTGAAAAAAACATGGCGTTATTATGTGAAGTGTATTTTTATTCTATTTAGAGCATGGCTACAGTCATACCAAGCCAAGTCGATATTTCAAATGAAGAATCACTTAGATTGGTGTTAAGTTTTTTGGTGAGTTCTTAAAGCTCTAACGCAATTGTAGGATAAAGATAACCATTATCATTTGATAGAAAGCACATTTTTCAGAATCAATTTTAAACTTGTGCTAAGAACAGGATCTATGTATGTGATTTGATGATCTTCCTGTCTTCTGTAAAAAGAATGAGAACGAGTAAATATTTCGTCACATAAATATGTTCATAAAATTTATTTAATCAACAGATAAAAATCTTCTAGTGAGTACCAGTATATCATAAATGGTGGGTACGAGTGTGTGGGATGTGAGTGCGATTCCTATTGTACTTTTGACTCACACCCACACCCACCCTTAAAACTTAATCAGCGTTCAAAAGTGGAAGTTCAACAATGATTAGAACATATATCTTTACAAAATGTATCAATCTTTATTGAATTGATGCAATTCAATTAGCTATTGAGACTGTCAAAAGAGAAAGTGAACTTTTTAAATAGAATTCTCAAGAGTAATTTATGTATTCACTGAACACATCGAACAGACATTATATTGTTTAGTTTAGATAATGTTAAAAATTTCTATACTTGTCAAGAAGGTATATGTTCATTTAAAAAAATGTTTTTGGTAAATGATCAATCGTCTTTTTTATTTTCTTCTCTTTTTATCGTTAAAAACTTTATAAAAAAAAATGTAAGCTTTATCACATTTCAAATATATCACATTCATCTGCTTCATTTTTTTAGTTTATTGAGCAACGTTTGGACATTGAATATGTGGTTCGTATTGACATTGCGGACATGGCACATATTGACCACTGTCCTGTGGACAATTTGGACATACAATATAGGTAGCACCTTGACACGTTGGACAACGTTCATGAAACTATGGACTTTGTGGAGAAGCAACAAATTGCTGTGCATTTGCTAAATATCCTAAATCTTGAGCATTTTGTTGTGCAGATTGCGACACAATAATTGTACGATTAGATAATTCCTTTTGCATTTCATCACGAATATATTGCACATGACGTTCAGCAAGCGACATAAAATGTCTCAAATTCTTCGATTCCCTAAAAAAAAATTATGTGTATAGAACAAACGAATATTGTTAAATTTTTTTTACCTATTAGATTTCATAAACATGTTCATATCGACTTGAAGTGGATTATTTTTAATATCCTAAAAAAAACCATAAACCGATGATGATCATTTTGAAATTTTATTTTTATTACCATATTTTCGAATATGAAGTTATGATTTTGTTGATTATTAATTGGTTCAAGTTTATATTCTCATATATTTGTTTTATTTACTGTTGAACAATTTAAAACTAGTCCATATTATTATGCTCAAACAGAAACTTATCAAATATTTTATGATTTATTTTATATAACTACATTTGCTTTTATACCACCAATAATAATGAATAGCGTTGGATTAGCAACTGTTTATCAAATTCATCAAAGTCATTTACATATTCATCCATTAACAATAAATCATAATACACATATTAATCAATTAAGAAAACGAGATCATCAATTATTAAAAACGACACTTGTATAATTTATTTTTATCATTGCAACTACATCACTTATTGCTATTCAAAAGCTCTATACTACATTTACACAAGGTATTAGTAAAAGTGATTTTCAATTAGCAATTGAAAATATTCTTGCACAAATAATGAGAATGCTTGTCTTTATTAATAGTAGTGCGAGTTTATATGCGTAAGTAGAAATGTTTCGGTAGTATATTTAAAAAGAAAAAGTATATTTTTGTTTTTTTAGATTTCTTGCTAGCGGACATGAATTCGATCATTTTATAGTTAAAATCATTACATACTTATTTGGTAAAAATACTCGATTTTACAGATGCGCTCAGATCCTCTTTGGAGATTTATCAATACATCAACTACATAACATGAATCAAGCAATAGCTATGCATCGTAGTATGAAAACTTAGAGGATTATATTTGGAAATTTTCATTCACAATCGAAATTATAATTGGTTCTATATTGTAACGTACTGTTCATGTATTTATTTTTTTGATTGTAATACATATTTCTTATACAATAAATACAAAAGATTAATCTAATTCGTAGTAGCAAAAAAAGTTGTCAAATGATTTTTAAATTTGATATTGTCATAATACAAATTCAATATGTGTTAAACTTTAGATGTTTCATACGGATGAACTTTTTCAAAATTTATTCGATAGTATTTCTTTAAGTATCTTATGAATCTCTTTAAGGATTTATATGTATATTTATTCCACATTTTCTTAATTGTGATTATTTATGTTCTACTTTTACACGACTAAAACTATTAATGTTGAACTCATTATTCCATTTGTTGCACTTTCTCATCAAACAACATGATACGTGTCACAATAATGCACTTCTTAATGTCACCAAATAAATATAGCTCTAATAAGGCTAGCAATATTATCAAACATTTATATTTAATAACTTCTTAATTTCGAGTGAATTATAAGTACATATTATCTTATGCATTTGTCTGTTTATTTTTTATTTCTATATTAAACATAAGAGTTTTCTTCATATAAAAAAATCATTTATTTAATAATTTTGAATATCTATGAGTATTATGCAAGTTTCAATATTGTTCTTTTTTGTCTTCTTAACGAAGGAACATGCTCTACTGTTAATCGCCGATCGAAGTGATATTTTATCTATAAATATAAATCAGGGAGATCAGAAAAAGTCTAAAAGGATTTGTCTCCATAGGCTTTCCTTTTGAAGTTATGATCGTTTTACCTGATTTTTGGCTTATGGCAAGTTATTTATAAAAGAAATGAAAAAGAAGGAATTTTCATCTACGATTTTGCCCACAAATAGGTCTTATGATCTTTAGAACATCCTGAAAGTTTTAGCCGAAATGGATGAGTATTTCTCAAGATATTGAATACTGAAGAAAAGTCGTTTTTTTTTGAACATTCAATATCTCAAGAAGAAACCATCCATTTTAGCTGAAACTTTCAGGATATTCTAAAGATCATATGACCTATTTGTGGGCAAAATTTTAGATGAAAATTCCTTCTTTCTCATTTTTTTTTATAAATAACTTCCCATTAGCCAAAAACCAGGTAAAACGATCATAACTTCAAAAGGAAAATCGATGGAGACGAATCCTTTTAGACTTTTCCTAGTCTCACTGAGTCCTATTTATGAAGCAAAATATCACTTCGATTGGCGATTAACAGTTAGGTATATTTCATAAAATCGATTAATTGAAAAATATTTTGCAAACATGAAAAATTATTACACAAATATGTAAACAAGAAACAGAATATTATTCGAAATATATGCCTAAGCTTATATTAAACGAACATATTCTTATTTTAATTGAAGATCTGAAGCATTTCCTTACGAATAAGATTTTCGAGCATTTAATCAAACTATTGATTGAACAATTAATAGCTTCAACTGAAGCACTTCAACCACAAAATTCATATAGTATTTTTCGTCTACGAACACACAATACAATCTTTCGCAATGCAATTTTCTTAGTACTACGGAGCATACGAACTATTCATAGGAATAAGACTTTGTATGGAGATTAATGAGATAAATTTTTGACTGGTCTGAACCGAAAATTTCTTAGATCGGAGTTCCAGCCTCACTTCTTATTAATGATATTTAATTGATTGCTACAAATATTCGAATATTATCTTTCGATTATCTCAATGTCAAAAATGATGTTCATATATATATATACGTGTACGTGTTCATAGTTTATTTATTTTCAACAACAATACAAATAATCATACATGTTTATAGTAACGTTCCTATGCGTTCATATCACTTACATTAGCAACAATGATAGAAATCATCAAAAAGTTAGCAATTCAATCATATGATGAATGTGCAATATGTAACGAAACAAAAAAGAAAAGAAAGAACAGAAAACACACATACAATTACACAGTGAAATAGCAAATAAACAGGAATATTTTAATATTTATTATTCATTCTCTTGTCTTTCGTTTTGAGTATTTTCGATCTGAATCATTATCTAAAGATCTATCATTTAAAAATAATTAATTGAATCAAAGATTTTTTGTTTTTAGCTCACTTTCTTGAACTAGATCGTTTGTCTTCATTTTCAATATCTTGTGATGATGAATCTGATGATGATGATGATGATGATGATGATGATTTTTGATTAGATGTCGAAGACGCTGCATCAGAACTCGAACGAGATCTAAAATAATTGAAAAAAAAAGAATCTCATACTGTTCTATTTATAAATAAATATTCCGCCCTCTATATACTAATTGGTGTAATTAACATACATATACAGTACCAGAGAAAGTGTGAGAGTTGTATCTAAAGTGAACAGATATCTTTTTGCTAATCGCTGAAAGTCTACGGCGAATTTCATATTATCTCAAATAAATCTTCATAATTCTTCGAACTTGTAATCCATCACAAGATAATTCAATAACTCATTCCTACGTATGAATGTGATTGATTGCATTCATATCTACACATTTTTAATCAATATAATGCTTTAAAGTGTTTCTTTGGTTGATATAACTGCATTTTAATGAATATTCAAAAAAAGAAAAATAATGAACTTGAGAATAGTTCTGATTTTGAAGCGGAGAGTGTGTACTATTATTAACGAAAAAAAATCTTTATTACTTGTACTACAAATTGTTCTCTCGACGATACAATTACATTCCTTATTCTTAGAAAAGACATCTCATCGATTTTTTTTTACACTAGAGACTGATATTCAATATTCTTGTAACCTACTTTTAAGATATCCTTCCGATTATAATAAAAAGTATTGAATTGAATTTCTAGTCTATTGCCATCATGTCATTGATACTTTGAATTCTAAAAGCTTGAAGAATTTTAATATTAGTGTAAGAATTTCATATGATTCGATGGCTGACTTTAAAACATGAATTGATGGTCGCAATATCGAATTAAAATCATAATCAAGACGACAAAAAAAAGTTCTCAAAGCGTCGTTTTATTGTATTTGGTAAAATCATTTATGAGTATGATGAAATATCGGTTTTTATTTATCCGAAGTTAAGAAAATTAATTATATGGTTCATGCAGTAGACTCATTTAACTATCGTAATAATCAAAGGAATTCAATTCAATATTTAATAATATATTTTAAAAGTAGATAAAAGAACCCTGTCAGCGCAATTCTTCTGGGATTAAAATGTAAAACATAGATCAGAAAAAAACTCAACTTGCGTCAAAAAAACATGTGAATGTTTATGTCCATCGAAGTATGACTTTCGAGAGAACAGATTCTGATCTGTTTTACCGGAAAATCGTTTAATAGTGAAGCAGAAATATTTCACAAAAAAACAAAAGATGTTGCATTGTAAGCTTCTTCAGTGTTGAAAATGTGTAACAGATATGACAAGTACTTTGAAAACTTTTAAGTGATTAGTACAAATGACTATTACCGTTTCCTAGAACGATGTAGTGGTGTGCGTGGTCCACGTCCACGTTTTTGTTCAGATGATGATGATGATGACGATGTTCGTCGTTTACGTTTTTGTTCACGACTAGATCGATTTCGATGTGATAGTGAATTTCTAAATATAAAGTAAAAGATAAAATAATTGTTTGTTGTTTTTTTCTTCTTTTTTAATTTCATATATAAAAAAAAAGTATTATTTTATATAGAGATATAGCAAATCGGAAAAAACCAACCTTTATAAAAATTCCATTATATTCTCCAAGAACTGTCTGCTTTGAAAAAGAAAAGAAATTTAGATTATGACATAAGCAGTTGTCACATAATCGAAACGATGAATAAATATGATGAGTAGAAAAGAAAAGATGTATAACAACGAACAATTCGATGTAATGTTGATCTGTTTTCTTTCTTTTTTTCGTACCTGTGCCGACTACGACTACGACTTCGTCTATGATGTGATGATGATGCAGATATATTTGTCGTATAACGATTAATACCAGATGATGAATACATATTTCTATAGGCACGCGATGATGATGATGATGATGATGGTGGTGGTGACGAAGGAAGAAAAGCTGGTGGTGGTAGTCGTTGCATTAAATATGGATCACCATATGTTCGATAATAAGTTGGATCACTGTAAAGAGTTGGATGATGATGATAATAGAAATCTTGTGATCGTAAATGATGCATCGGTGGTAAACGAAGATTTTGTTTAAATGATGGTGGTGTTAACGATCGACCACGAGATGTTGTTATAGGATTAGTTGTCATTGTTAATGGATAATGTTGATAATAATTTTGTCGAAATGCTTGCATAGATGGTAAACGATTAGCTGTTACCTATAAGGAAAAAAGAACATATTTCAAAAAATAAAAATTTTTAAGATGTGTCAGAAATGCAAAATTAAAGCAGAATTTTTTCTAATGACATACTTTGTCTGAAAAAGTGATCAATTTTCGATAATCAACTACCTTCTCGGAACAAAGGACCTCATCGGAAAAAACTAAAATTTTTCTTCTAAAAACTCATCCTAAAATAATAAAAATACATATACTGTTGATAAACTCGTCACACTCTATCTAAACATAGAAAATTCTACTTTAATTTTGCATTTTCGGTACCAGTAAAAGAAAGCAAATTCTTTTGATTTAAACCTGTAATTGACTATATAAAATCGATGTTGGTGAACGATCACGAGATAATGGACGTCGATTATCGCGTGATGTTTTAGCATATTCAACACGAAGTTTTGAACCATTTACAGTTTTATTATGTGTATGTTCTAATGCACGTTGTGCATCAATTGATGATGTAAATTCAACAAATCCAAAATGTTTATTTTCATCAATATATATTGTTGATATTTCACCATATTTACTAAATAAACGATTTAAATCTGATTTACGATTATCACCTAAATCCCCAACAAATAACTTTAATGATCCATTTGAAGAAGGCATCTAGTTTTTGTTTTGAAATTGTTGAATACAAAACAAGAAGCAACAATAATACTCTATCTATACATAACAACAAAAACGAAAAATTTATTGGCGATAGTAGCGCTCAATGATTATGAATCTATGTTGAAGGAGGTCGATACCTGTTCAAGATATTGTCGAATCAAAATGGCGACATTAGAATACCATTTCGATTGGATTTTGTTTATTGTTTAATATATACATTTTATGTTATTGTTATGATATAAAAGATTTCTTTAATTATTTAGGTTTTTTTTCTAGATTTTCTTGTTGACACTATGGCACCACCAAAAAAAGTCGCCGGAGTATGTTGAAATTTTTATTTCAATGATTTATCTTGATTTTTATTTTTTTTTTAATATAGAAAAAACAAGCTGAAACAATTAATCAGCGTCTTCAACTTGTTATGAAATCCGGTAAATATGTTCTTGGCTATCGTCAAACATTAAAGGCATTACGAAATGGACAAGCGAAATTAATTCTTGTTTCAGTTAATACACCACAAATTAGGTAAAAATCGATTTTGTTTTTGTTTTTTTTAAGAAAATTTTTTTTTTTATTAAATAGAAAAAGTGAAATTGAATATTATGCTATGTTAGCTAAAACTGGTGTACATCATTATAGCGGAAATAATATTGAATTAGGTACAGCTTGTGGTAAATATTTTCGTGTTGGTATTCTTGCTATAACCGATCCAGGTGATTCAGACATTATTCGAACAGTACCAGGCGAACAATCGACTGCTATTGCAACGTCATAAGCATAAATATGTTATGAATTTTTTGAAACTTGTTTTTCTTTTTTATTTTGTCGCTGCAAGATTTCTATCGGTTGTTTTTGTTAACAAGAATTATGAAAAAGAAGAATAATAACGAAACATCATGAATAAAGAACAAAATATACATTTGTCTTTGACTAAAACAGAAATTTGAATTCATTATGGATGATATGCGAGCCTATAGATTCTTAAATTGATTTCTACATAAAATAAGATTATATCTAGAAATTTTGTCAAACTATATGGAATTATTACTTTCTTGCAAAGGAATTCTATGAAGTTATTCGACTTGAATCCAAATAGAGACTATGAGATGAAGATTTCTGAAAAATCAGATATGGGAGATTTTAAGAGTATCATCTTAAAGAGGACAAAATTATGAATAAAATGAAGGGTTGCCGCATCTTCTAGGACCTTCCTTTAAAAAGTTATAAGTATGACAAAAAAAAAATGCGCTTTTTAGCAATATGATACTTATAACTTTTTAAGGAAAGGTGGTAGGAAATTCAGCAACCTCTCATTTTATTCACAATTTTATGCTCTTCAAGATGATACTCTTAAAACCTTTCTCTCATAGTCCTTTTATAAAGCTTTGTTATGAAATGGATGTGATAGAGAAATTCATTAATTATTTAAATCACTATTTGGATTTGAGTGAAATATTTTAGGACTTTGAATTTGAGATTTATTTTATTTAACAAAAACAAAATGTGATTCAATAACAAAATTACATTTCATATTTTTGTTCATAATATCAAATTTCACAATTAACTAACAAAAATAAAAATGATAATTTAATTATTAAAGTACTCATTTGAGAGTTCCAAGAGAAAAATAAGACGAAGATCAGAAATTAATAAATAAACTAACGTAACATAATAAGTATTTTCTTCAGAGAAGTAAAATTTCCCTCGAGCATGTCTATATACACAAGAGATTTTACATTTTTTACTTACTGAATAATAGAATGAGATAAAATTTTTTTTTAACCATTGACTATAACTATTTTCGTTCTAAATATTATCGAATTTTTCTCAAAAGAAAAAAATTTTTATATCAAATCAAATATAAAACGAAATAATTAAATTTCCTTTTTTTTTTTTCGTCTGTATTTGTTGTTCTATGTCTATCAAATGAATATGACGTAGGCGAATTCTAAGTTTTCTTTTAAATAATAAACTAACAAAATTTTACATTGAAATATGAATATTGATTTGGATAAAGGTTAATATAATAGAATAAAATAAAATAAATTTAGTTGAATTGATCAATACATAACACATACGATTTCAAAAACAAAAAAAAAAGAATATTCTTATTAACAAGCTTTATGGCATAGGATAGAACAAATCGATTTCGTCTCATATTATGTCACACGGAACTGTGACATTTATGTTTTCTTGTTTTTTCCTAATCTTGTATCTCTCTCTCTCAAACAAAGATGATTGTTATATATGTGCCTCTAATATAACAAAAAGTATTCTTTTAATTTGTCACAGAATTAGGTACACATGATTTTTCTTCTTATAAATATGATCAATAAAGACAAATCTATTTCTTCGTAATATGTACTACGCAAATATCAAATTCAACAAAATAAATTTTCGTTTGTCTATAATGATATGGTAAGTAGTGAAATATTTTATTTTAGCTTTTCTACTTTAGTTAATATAGATTTTGTTTGAAAAATGTGCTTGCACGAAATAAATTTCATTTATATAAACAAAGAAAGAAAATTCAATTGGTTCGAACTATGGATTTCTTAGCGATGTGATTAGATAACATGTCACCTGCTGTTTTCTTTTTCATTATAACAAAAAAAAGAACCGAAATGTATGTATATATGTATGTGTTATGTAGCATATAGCTGATTCATCTATCATGTCAACAAATATAAAAAATGTTCTTAATGAATTCTCTGCCACTTTTCATTGGTATCATTTCGTTTTATTGTTCTTTCTTTTCTTTTTAACAAAAAATTGTGTTCTTCATTCTCCTATTCAAATATTTGATATAATGTATTACATAAAACGGATACTTTAAAATGAAGAGCATGATTTAATAGAAGACATAAGAATTTGATCTTCTAAATGAATACATCTTTTTCGTAGATAAAAAGACTTTTTTCCCCTCAACTCACTACCTGTAAAGTTGTTTGTTAATAGATGTACACGTTCTTGCCCTTCGTCCTACACCGATTTAAACAGTATAACTACAACGACAAAAAAAATGATGATGTACTTTGATGTTTACAGGCTAATATTCATCATTCCAGCACGTTTTCTCTCGTTCTTTTCGCATCATGATCAGGTAAAGAAGAATATCATCCGATTCACATATGATTTCATTCAAATCAAAAAAGAAATATCGTCATAAAATATTTCAACGTCCATCATTATTTGTTCGTTTTAAATCGTAAGATTTAATTTTAATTTCTAGTAAATATTCTATTGATCGATTTTTTTTTCTTAATAGTAAACATCGTTTAAAATCTGATTTTGGATTTAGTGAAAGACAAGAAAAAAAATTTCATTCAAAATCATTTTTTAATAATTTCTATCGAATATATTATTCATTATGTATAAGTGTAACATTTATTATTCGTTTTGTTATTTTTATTGATCGTATAATACGAAAATTGATTATATTTATTGAAAAATTAATTCGAATTATTCGTATTGTTCATGGATGGATAGAAATGATAAGATCAATATTTTTAGCTATTTATCTTATTATGTCACGTTTAATGATATTGATATTTAAAATTTATCAAATATTTTATTTATTATCTATTTTATTTGAACCATTTCGAAATCGAACTTTTGAAAAAGCTGTACGTTCTTTTTCACATTTTATTTATGAATATTATTCATCAAATGGAGCTTGTTATACATTAAAAGCTCGTACAAATCATGTTATTGGTAAAATAAGAGCAAAATGGAAAAAAAATTCAATAATTATCCATGATGATGATATTTATTATGATGCTCTTAATGAAGAATATCAATAATGTTCTTTTTTTTTTCTTTTATATTAAATATCTTTCTATTTGTTTGTAAAGTGATTCTGTTTTTTTTTCTTGTATTTTATTGTTATTTTTTTATTTTTAAGTTATATGATCAAAAGATATAATCACTATTGTAATATTTTTATTTTATAAATGATAATGATTAAAAGAAATATATCATGAAAAAAAATGTTACATAAAACCTGAATACAGGTGTTCGAATCTCGATACTTTTGATAATAAGAAATTGTAGCAAAGAATCATCATTGAAATTTTTTAATTGTTATATGAAATAGTGTATTCAATTAATTTTTTCAAACTCAATGAAGAAGAATTTCATATAACAAAAAAATCAGATTCGGAAGACTATAATGTGATATATCTATCAAAGATAAGATCGGTTCGTGCTTTCTTGAAACCGAACCGAACTGATATCTTCTCTGGTGTCTATTATAAAATGAGAGTACGCGAACAACACAATAAAGAAATATTCATTTTGTTTGTTTCTTATTTGATTGATTCTTTAATAGATCCTTTCTTTGGTAATTAATCCTATAGCAATTCACAGTTTTATAATATCCTAAGGAATCTATTTTCTAGCATTCATTCGAAATTGTATTGTGAAAAAACATTTGCATGAATCAATCTATCTCATGTTAAATTTTTTGGTCGAAAGAAAAATAGATTGAATTGATTGTAGCTGATTGTTGATGAAATAAACAAACAAAAGTTCACCTTGTTCATTGTTTTTTCTATGTCAATAGCTGAAAATAAATTCTTTGACTCTGAACATATTAGATCAATGAGAAAATGAAGAATATTTTATTAAAAAGACTTTATTTTGTTATAGATATTTTCTTTTCCGAATTCTGCATTCAAAATTCATATTTTGTGATATAATGATCTCGAGAATGACAAGTCATCTAATATTCATTGAAACAGCACTAGAGACATCGAGGTCTCTATATGATATAAATTAGCAAGAGTGAAAAATATCAAAGTTCTTTCTTTATCAAAGATTTATACAACACTTTTATTTATTTTAATTGTGATGTGAAGCACTGTACAGCAATCGGCTGTGAGTTTTTTCATACGATGCGAAGCACATAATTTGTGTAGTCCTTCGGTAGGTTTCTTTTCTTTTTAATTTCTTGACGTACATATCAAAGTTTGTCATTTTGTGTCTTGATGATCTCAAAAACGAAAAATCAGAAAATACTCCTTCAAACGGGAAGTGACAGTGGCGAGATCAAACCGATACCATTGTTTCCCAATCTTCCCGAGAACGTTCCATTCGCTTACAAGTAGCGCCCCCAAGGATGTGGGTGTGCATGGATGAGTGCGTGTTTTCATCTATACCTACGAAAACATAAGGACAAAGACAGGAATAATGTCTAAACATGATAGAAGAAAGTGTAATGTGGCATAGTGTATAAAATTCTGTTACAATGAATTTCTTTTTTTTTTATTCTTTCGTTTTCTGATGACACTCCAGATAATAACAGATAAAAAAGACATGAAGGACTTAAATGAAATGAAAAAAGAACATCAACGACAATAACAATCGAAAAAAAATAGAAACATCTAGAAGAAAACTCTAGCATACTATATAAATTCAAGTTATCCTATTTCATTTTTTCCGTTGATAAAGCACAAAACATACTATGAACAAAAAAACAAATTTGACAATAACAACATCTGATACTCTTCATGCTCGTATAGTTCAGAACTTTGCCCTAGTATGGCTCGATGACAATATCGATGAACTGAACAACAATGGTCGTATCAACACTATCAGCAAATTACGAGAAGTCGTGAGCAAGATACATCCATTCACTCATGTGAATGCATGTGTCGATTCCATAAATGATATTCAAGAAGAGAAAGTATTTATGATCTTTTCTGATACCTTCGAGCAAGCAACTGTTCCCACCATTCACGGCATTCTACAAATCAATACTATCTGTATTTTAAGTAAGAACCAAACCCGGCATCAACGTTGGATCAAACAACGGCCAAAAATAAAGCGAATCTTTACAGATATTGCTTCTCTCTGTAAAGATCTTCAACAAGCGGCACAAGAATGTGATCAAAACATGATTTCGATCAGTTTTGTCACTACATCCAGTGGAAGCAGCAAGCAAAACCTCGATCAATTGAATTCGTCTTTTATGTACACTCAAATAATGAAGGAAATTTTATTAAACATCGATTTCAAACAACAACATATTGATGAATTTACTACTTATTGTCGTTAATTATGCGCCGTGAATCCGAAAGAACTGCAAAATATCGACAAAATCCAACAGGAATATCATGAACATGTCTCAATATAGTGGTATATGTATCAGTCTTTTATTTATTCAATGTTGAATCGATTGTTACGCATGATGGAGATTGATCTCATCATTGAGATGGGATTTTCATTCGAGATCTCTACAACCACATCACCAAGCTTCATGCACAAAAGTTTGCTGAACATTCAGCTCCTAGTTCATTTACTGTTTATCGTGGTCAAGAGCTGTCAAAGGCTGACTTTGATCAATTGACCAGAAACAAAGGTGAACTTCTATCATTTAATAATTTCCTATCGACTAGTGAGAATCTTCAAGTCTCACTCAATTTTGTTTGTAAAACTATTCAAACATCCGATCTTCTTGGGATCTAATTCGTCATGAAGATTGATCCATCCATTGTGTCAACACCATTTGCTGACGTCCGTGATGTCAGTTATATAAAAAGAGAAAAAGAAATTCTTTTCTCCATGCACTCCATCTTTCGTATTCAATCAATGTAATAAATCGATGGAAATAATCGTATTTGGCAAGTCAATCTAACATTAACCAGTGACAACGATCCAGAACTCCATGCTCTTACAAAACACATACGAGAAGAGACATTTCCACGTCTCGAAGAATGGCACCTTTTGGGTATGTTGCTAAATAAACTTGGACAGTTCGACAAAGCTCAAGGAATATATGATATCCTACTTGATCAAACAACGACTGACAACAAAAAAAACAGCTATTTATGATAGGCTTGGGACGGTCAAGATGGGTCAAGGTGAATATCCAGATGCCATTACCTATTTTAGACAGTCAAATAAAATTCTGCAGAAGATTCTATCACCAACGGATGTCAATTTGGTTACTTCCTACTACAACATTGGCTCGATTTATTGCAGTATGGGTGACTATTCGGATGCACTTTCATATTATCAAAAAATACTGGAAATCCGCCAAAAAAGCTCTTCCTTCAAATCATCCTCATTTGGCTCAATCTTACCACAACATTGGTTTGGTGTATTTCAAGATGGGCGACTATTAGAAGATACTTTCATTCTATGAGCGTGCATTGAGTATTTTACAACGTTCACTATCTGCAAATCATCCTAATCTTCTAACTTTGCGAAAGAACCTCGAATATGTAAAAAAGAAAATGTAATTTTTCTTTTTTCTTTGTTCGAACAAATAAATTTAACGAAAATAAGACTTTTTTTTATGGAAAGAGGTACGAAGGCGCGTACAAAAATATCCTGTCTTACTAAGACCACAATGAGACGATGCTCATCGGTAAGGTAACTGACGGATGTCTAAACGATGGACATGTATTGTAAATAGAAGACTTTCATGGCATAGTTTGAGGTTCAATAAGAAAAGTTTCTATATCGAATATAGTGTCATCCGAAAGAACGATAGAGAAGAGAAAAGAGAAAGGAAAAACGAAAATTCTTTGATTCATGTAATGAATTATTCTTTCTGTTCCAATGTAACAATAATTCATAATATGAAAAAAAGAAGAGGATGCTCATCGATTGAATGATTTATTTCTGATACTGTGTATAGTAATAATAAAACTTTTGGTTTTTGGTCATTTACGTGCGATGAATGGTTGATTGTCGACATATAGTGTATGCCATAAAAGATGAAAAAATAAAGAAAACTATTGAATACAATTTGAGTTCCTATGGCATTGGCTTATTTTGGCCAAATATACTATTTATTTCAAGAAAGAACAGAATACAATTTCATAAATCATAGATTATAACTAAAGATTTAAATTTTATTTGGACTATCACATAATTAAGTAGCTTAGATTCTGATAATTAAAATACAATTGATTATTAAGAAAATTTCTAAATAAATCTAATTGATAAACAACAATACATATTTTGTTTCCTAAGGATGAAATTAAACACTAAAACAAAATAAAGTATATTGGCTAATTTTATTTTGATTAAATTTAGTTGTCAATATTAGTTCTCTTTAGAAAAAGAAATTACTAACGAAATATGAATTATCAAGTCGTGGATACGCGAGAAATATACTGAAAGGAAGCATAATAATTGATATTCTTTAATAGTAGTTCTTGACATATAAGGAATTAGTGTGCACTCTGAAACATTCTGCTAAATAATTTAGGTGTCACAAAAGTTCGTATTGAATTAAAACAGAAGATCAGTTTAAACAACGAAATAGAAGGACAACTAAAACCAAGGATCTAATTGTCTGCTGAAGACTTACTCATAAAATAGCGTTGCAAGTTGATGCGAAATTTGAAATAGAAAATCAATATTCAAATTGACAGGTCTTGCAATGATACATCTTTCCTAATATTTCACAATTAGAAATGCGCAGGCTCAAGTTTTTTGGCCCTGATCTAGAGAAAAATATTTCGGAATTTATTGGTATCACATCTCAAATAGTTATTCAATACTCGGTTTTTGATTCATTAAGTCGATGACTAATACTTTTGAGTCGTTTCTCTTGATTTATGTTCTAATTTATATGATGATTCTCCTGAAACTATAGAATATTTAACTATAATCTTTAGTTTCGATTGCAATAACTTGTTTTCCGTAGCCCTAATCCTAGAACTAAAAGTTGGTACTGCACATCTCTATCGAACATTGTTTTATTATACTCAAACTATCTTCAAGATGTATACATTCGAATAATTGTAGAGTTTTTCAGACAGCAAAAAAAAACCAACAACGTTCACATTTTATTTATTGGAATCATTTATGTTTTTGTTTTTTGTTTTCGTAATCCCTTTAAATTTTATTATTTTCAATTGAACTTGCAAACCAGTTAGCTATGTACTAGGATTTATTATAAGTATTTCAGTGGTATCAGGATTATCAAATGCTTTATTGTTTCCGACTACAGCAAATATTGCATGTCCTTCATTCAACATAGAGCTACGCGATATGTAGCCCATGTTTACGTACCTTTGGCGCGCCATACGTTTATTTCACTAAAAGATTTTTTTAGTCGAAAACAAACATTCGACTGATTCCCGATAAAAAAAAGGTTAAAAACATTCTTTCTTAAAAGCAACAAACCCTCATCTCATCACTTTTCTTTGTACAAGATATTCAGAATATTTCAAAATTTACACATCCATCATTGTACTTCACCTATACCCCTTTGCAAACCTAATTAAAACTATGAAAAATGGTGACCTTGGCCTACCATATGATTGGATTATATATGTAAATAGAAGCCAAAAATGAAAGCGAGAACGAAAAGAAAGGAGCACGATTGAAAATGTATGTCTGAACAAATAAAAACAATTAAATCGCTGTATCTTTCATTCGATCTTCATTATTTTTCCATTTTGTCTATCAAAGCAATGTACGCTTTAATTTAGCATAAACGCCTGATTTTTTTTCCTTGTAAAGATTGTCCTACGTAGTTTTCTGATTTCGAGAGTTGACTTAATGAACTAAACTCTTGTTAATGTTGAATAAATTAATAATAAATTCATTTCTATATAAAGTGTGTTGTATTCTTTTTCAAATCTCATTCTTGAACATTTTCTTTTTTCGTATGATCAAAAACAAAATTATGTCTTATTGATTCAATGAATAATTGTCTTTCATGCTTGAAATTTTATATTAATCGATGCATTTTTTTTTTCTTAATATAAATATTAATGATTAAACTTAAAATGATTTCCAGCTGAATCATTTTATGGTTTGTTATTAGTCAATCAATGATTGTTTCTTGGAAAAAAAAAATCAACATCGTAATTATAGAAAATAATTTCTTTTATTTTTATTAGTACATATATTATTCTTACCTTTGATTGACAGTCATATAGAAAAAAAGAAAGTTATAAAATATTCCTTCGAGCATCACTCAAAAACAAAAATATGCAAACGAAATGACTAAACCAAAGATGAGTCATCAAAAAACAAAGTACGCCTACTTTTTTTTCATTTTTCTTTGTCAAAAATGTGAGTTTAATGATTGTCTCAAGGATAACGAAATTGTTTCTTATCATTAATACTACTACATATTTATTTGTTTCGGCTACATACATATATATAGGAGTATGCAGGACCGAAAAAAAAGGGGATTGAGTTAATACAATCAATAGAATAGACAAAATGTAAGCCGTTAGCTGATATTTTTTAACTATCTTTTTTTTTTGGTTTTTCAAATTCTCCATTGTATATTAGTCTGTATGTCTTCAATAAAAAAAAAAAGAATGAAGCTAAAACTAACTGATACGCAATTTAGAAAAGCGAATATAATTTCTAGTCATTTGTTTTTATTTATCAAGGGTCCACGTGATACTGATTTTTTCTTTCCTATGATAACACGAATAGAAACCTGATTAGAGAGCACATTTTTTTCTTTTTTTTACATTACAAAAATTTTTGTTCAAATCTTTTTACTTGTATTATATATCTATATTGGATTTTTCAGCAAATATTTGTTTTTCTTTGTTAATCACATCATATTTAGATTAATCATGCGACAAATATATACGTCACCAACTTTAGCACCTCATCAACCAACTGTTCTAACTAATTTGCTAAATTCTTCAATAACATCATCAAAAAATAGTATTATACCTCCGAGATTATCATTTCATCCAGATTCATTTCGTCATTATATAAGTCAACAAATAATTCTAAAACCAATACGTGGACGTGAATTATTTATACGTTCAATACGTCGTATAATTGAACAAATTCGTGATAAAAACCAACGTACAAAAAATGATCAACAATTATTTTCAACATATGAAGAAGCAATAAATATTTTTAATGATTTAACATTTATGAAATGTATTTTATTTAAAAAAAAATTATTAGATTCAAATAATCGAGCATGGACAATTGAATTTGCACGTCAAGGTGGTTTACATACATTACTTGCTTATCTTGAACAAATTATACATAAAGGTTTATCACTTGTTGATGCTATACTTGTTAATGAAACATTACAATGTCTTCGTGCTATGATGAATATTAATGAATTATTCGAACATATTGCATCAAATCCACAATATATTGATTCAATAGCAAAAAGTAAAAATTTGAAATTATTTCAATGAAAAAATAAAAAAAAAAGAAATTTTTTCTTTTTTTTTTTCTTTTAGTTTTAAGTGTTCCATCAGCTGAAATTCGTATGCGTGTATTTGAATTATTAACTGCATTATGTGTTTATTCACAAGATGGTTATGAATTAGTTCTTAGAGCATTACAAGATTTTCAGGTAAATATATAGCTTAAAAATTTCTAATATTTTGAAGTAAATAAAACACAAAAAAACAAAAATTTCAGAAAAATCAAGTATTTGAGAAGGTATATTTATAGTTGTTCTGTTTGATTTTCTTGTTGTGTTAAGATTAACAAACTAACTGTGTGTGTTTGTTTTGTTTAAGACAAATAATAAATTATCAAATGTATTTGCTGTTATTCTTGAACAACTTAAATTTGCTGTTATGGCTAAACATAAATGGTCAGCTATTGCTTTACTCAATAGTATTTTATCATCAACTGAAGAAATTGAAAAACGTCTTTCTTATAGAAATATACTTTATTGTAAGTTATAAAATTTAATTTTAAATTATTGAATAAAAAAAAAAAAAAGAAAATTCTTCTAGCAAATGGTATAATATCAATATTAGAACAAGCACAAAATGATAATAATATTGATCTTAATTTTCAAATTGATATTTTTTTTGAAGATCAAAAACATGATGAAGAAGAATTTTTAGGAAATTTTGATTCCAATGATAGTCAAGCTGTTTATCAAGCTATTCAATTACAAGTTTGTTATTCGAAAAAAATTTTCTTAATAAAATAAATATTTAATGATCTTCCTTTTTTATTTATTTATTTTAGTTAGCACCTAATTCAAATGAATCAGCTCTTTTTCTCACACCAATGCAACTTTTATATTCAACTTTAGCATCTTCAAATTCCAATGAACGGTATATAAATTTTAAAATCTTCTTATTCTATTTAATTAATTTTCTAGACAGAAAATTCTTCAACATCTTCTTCAATCTCTTTCTCAACCAATAGAAAAAAAAATGATTATCGAACAAGCATCACAAACAGATGTAATTCCTGAATTCGATATTAAATCTTCCTCTACTTATCAACAAGTTCCAACAATTACTCCAGTCATTACAAATGAAAAATCCCTACAAAAACCTTACGATACTTCCATATTAATCAATACAGAAAAATCCATTGATAATAAATCTCCTTCAAATGAACTATTTGTTCGTCCTCCACTTCCGGCTAATATACAAATAGACTCTTCTCCTATACCAATATCACGAAACGGCACAAAAATACCGCCGCCGCCACCCTTTCCAGGAGGACTACTACCACCTCCTCCACCACCACTACCAGGCTTTTCAGGAGGACCATCCCCTCCACTACCGCCATCATTTCCAGGCGGACTACCACCACCTCCTCCGCCATCACTGCCAGACTTTTCAGGAAGACCACCACCACCACCACCACCAGGCTTTCTCGGAAGGCCTCCACCGCTAGGACAATTTAGTGGGAAAGCACCTGTTGCTGGCCTTTCTGTTTTAGTTGATAGTATTCCTAAACCAAAGGGCAAAGTGCGACGATTACAATGGAAGAAATTACCGCAAACTATTCTTGGTATGTGACATATTGTGTTTATTTCTATTCTCATGAAATTTTTATTTTCTTCTAGCTACTAGTCAATTTTGGATGGATGTTAATAAAAAAGTTGATACACAGATTAATTTTTCACAACTTGAAAATTGTTTTAAAGTTAATAATGAAAATAGTAATATATTATTACAAACGAAAAATAAAGCAACGAATGTAAGAAATAAGATTATTTTGAGACTGATATTGTTTAAATATGTTTATAGATTTTATCTCATAATCGATCAATTGCTATAAATGTTTTCTTAAAAAAATTTAATTTTACTGAAGTTCAATCATTAGTTCAATCTCTTCAAGATTCAAAATCAAATCTTAATAATGAATGTCTTCGTATGTTACTCAAAGTTTTACCCAATGAAGATGAAGTAAATTTATGAAAATAAAAAATGTTTTTCTTGATTTTGGTTTTTTTCATTCTAAAAAAAACTAGATTAATCTTATTCATGATCATCCACGAGAAAATTGGACATTACCAGAAGAATTCATTCATGAAATTAGTTCAATTTCATATTATGCATTTCGTGTTCAAACACGTATTCTTATTACAGAATTTGATGAAACATTTGATGATTTTAAACGAAAATATGAAAGTATTATTAGAGTAATCAATTTTCTACAACATAATTCATCTATTAAACAATTAGCTCGTTCACTTCTTTCAATTGGAGATTTTCTTAATTATGTAAGCATTCATTCTATACTATTCCATAGAAAAAAAAAATTTTTTTTTTTCGTTATTTGAATTTATCTAGGATTCATATGCTGGTAATGCGGTTGGTTTTCGACTTGATATTCTCAAACAACTACATGATATTCGTACAAGTGAAAATAAAAATTTACTTGGTGTTCTTCTCGAAAGTTCACCAGAAAATTTTAAATTTATCGATAACCTTAAACCATTAATTGCCGATGATATACAGTAACAAAAAAAAAAAAAAATTTTATTTTATTCAAAAAAAAAATAAATATTTATTTTTCCATAGATTAAAATTAGTAAAATCAGAATATATGGATTGGAAAAATAAGATTGATAATGGTCTTAAACAAATAAATTCAATTGCAGATAAACAAATCATTGAACAATATAAACCATTTTATGAAGTATGGAAAACGATAAAGAAAAATTTAATTTAATTTAATCTTTTTTTTTTTGTTTATTTACATAGCAATCAAATATAAAAGTAAATCATATTCTTGAACCATTAGTAAATCAATGTGAAAAACAAGAACTAGAATTAATGAAAGAATTTGGTGAAACAGATTTAAGTGAATTTAATTATGATATATGTTGTATGATATTTCGACAATTAATTGAAAAAGTTGAAAAAGAAATAAAAGTAAATTAAAAAAAGAAGATTAGCAAGATTATATTTATTTATTTATTTTTTGTATTTTAGGAACAAGAAAAACGTTTAACATCGAATAAAATATTATTAAATTCAACTAAATTAGAACCTCAAAAACTTATTTTAACTAATGATAATATGAATAAATTAACAGATAATCATTTTATGGATTCAATTATGATAGAACTTAAACAAAAAAAATTTTCTACAGTACCAGCTAGACGACGTCGACTGCGTCCAGATCTTACAGATCTTAATGATCGAGAATATAAATAAAAATAAAAAATTCTGGTTGTTTTTTGTTTTATAAAATAAATTGCAATGATTTTTTAATATGTTTTTATATTGTTATCAATAGTTCAATTCATTTCATTTGAGCCATTATAAATGGATATTTGATACAAGTGTTCTCTATGTATGTGTACTTTTCTATTGATCAACATCAATGTTCGGGAAAACAATCGTTTTTTTACTTTGTTCTGTTCGTGTACCCCTTTGGGTACATATATATACACTTGAGTGATGTTTGCATTTCTACTCTTCTCCGTGTCTCGTTCTCTTTCTCTAATATGTACCAACGATATTAGTATTGTTTTAACGATATTCGTGAAGCAGAAAGCGAAAAAAATGTACCGCTATATCACTTAAATATATATTCATGATCACGAAAAAATGTATTATAGTTTAAAATTGATTATCGCATAAACATGTCAATCTTTTTTTCTTTTTTTTTTCTTTTTAATGTTCTTCATTTTATGTTTTCCGGAGGGCTAATTTCGTCATCATCATCATTATCATGATCATTGTCAATTGAGGACAAGACATATATGTATATGCATATACATAAAATGAAATTGCTAACATTTACTCAAACACAAATCATGAAGACGAAAGAGGGAGAGAGAGAACGACAGAGCATACAACACGAACGAACGTCTCGCATTTGTAATAATGATGAATCCACATCGTCTATATAAGCGAAAAAGTGAAAGAAGAGAGCTGGAGAGGAAAAGGCGAAAAAGAGCACGAACGAAATATAAAGCAAATAGTCTTTCTACTTAGCTTTTGTGTATGTGTATGTGGAAGGAGGAGCAAGGAAAAAAAAGAAAACACCTTGATAGTATTCGCTCTGGGTAAATAGGCACGTCCGTCAGCAACTATTTCGTCGTCAATTTCACGTTCTCTCTTATTTCGGTTTTTTTTCTCGCCAACGCACAGCCGTTTGTTGGTAGAGTGATGATGGCTAAAAGTGTTTCACCGTAACATTTCTCTCTTTACTCTTCGTATTTATGTGTGTGTTCTTACTCCTCTTTTTCGCTCGTCAAGCAAGCAAAGTAAAAGAACGAGAAAACGAATGTGTAGTGTAGTGTTCCGTCTTTGAGATTCCTTTTCTTCTCTTCGCTTCTCAGCACACACATACACAAGCATTTTTCACTCACACACAATACAGAGAGAGATGAAGTATATATATATATATATATACATATATATTTATATGCATACGTATATATATATGTAGAATAGAGGACATCAACGAATGGTAGATTGGCTTAGACTTCGGACATAGACGTTTCTTCTCATTCACCTGTTTTTTTCTTCGTAAGTATAGGATAAGTCGATTACCTTTCTCATGAATGAAACTTTTTTACTTATCAGAATATAATCGTTATCTTATCAATATCAATCATGATTTTAAACATGATGCATTCTACTTTATGGATTTGAAATAGATGATGAAAAAACAACAACAACAATAGATTATTTTCTCAAATTGCGTTTAATGGAAATTCGAAAATAAATAATTCTACTTTGGCTTTTTTCTTTTTATTGGAAATATCATGAAAGGTTTCATAATTGAGAATTTAATCGAAATTCTAATAAGAAAAGAAGAAGAAGAAGGAAAAAAAAACGTTTGGTTATAAACTTGCATATTTTTTCTTTTGCAATCGGTAACTCTCAACTTCTTAGCTTTGTCCTGTCACATCAACGTCCATTAAAGTTTCATTTTCGGATTTCTTTATTTTTCTTTTCTTATGTTACCCTAACAAACCAAACAATATTCGTTGTCGTTCTCTTTCTTCTACTGTATTTTCTTTGAGCAAGCATAAGTATTATATTCGCATGTATTCAAATACGAAGAGCACGTCTATAGAGAGAAAGAGAATGATGAATCTAGATATAGTAAAAGCATATTGAAGCCTATCGTCCGTTCGACGGCGACCACCACTACCACCATCATCATCAACATACGAAAATTCGTCTTGTGTTCTTTTCGCTCATTTTAATGTTCGTTCTATGTTGAATGAAATAGAGACGAGAGAAAGGTGTACATATATATATATATATTTAAAAGAGAGAAAGACAGAGGGAGGAAAAAAAGAAGGTAAGAACATACACATACATCAGGGAACAAACGGGTATGAAGCGGGAAAAACGAACCTTACTACTACAACGAATGTCTCTTGTCCGTTCAACGAAGGTATACAAAGTAAATACAAAAGAAAAAAGAAAAGAACGCGATGCAATGAAAATTTCAATAGAAGTGCGTTCGTCTTTATGTAGACACATACATTTATATATATATATATATATATATATATATATATGTAGACGAGAAAAAAAAGGGAACAGAACGAATGCTCGAGAGTTAAAGTCACCCTCAGCTACGCTATCTCTCTTTTCTTTTTTTTGGCCTACACATACACCGAAATGCGAAAGAGCATTTCGACGATGGCAAGTTGATGAAAAAAGGGCAACGATTTCTTTCTTCACTTCTTTTTTTTGTTATTCAAAGAGATTTCTCATTGGAAAATCTTTTCTACATTAAACTTTGTGTGTGCGTCAGATTTTTTTTGTTTTTGAAGTGGAAAACAGCTGTTTCACATTTTAGACCTCAAAAAAAAGAAAATTATTATGAATTCATTGGATATTCAACAACAATTAGCCGATCAACGTCGTGGTCGATATGTACGTGTCAGTGATGTTGATCGTCGATTACTAATTGATACATATAAAAAAGGAGAAGATTTTATTGCACTTGCAAAAAAACTTAATATTAAACGATCAACAGGTGAGAAAGAAAAAAAAAAAGAAAAACAAACTACCTTTTATAGTGTATATACTCTTTTATGGTTTATTGATATCTTACGTTTTTCCCATAATATATATGAGTCATATTGGACATAAAACAGAAAAGAACTTTTTCTTTTTCTAGCTCGAAGTATTCTTCGAACATATATTGATGAGGGACGTGTATCAGCAAAACAACGTGCTGGTACACGTCTTCGTTTTATAACAGAAGATGAAGCTGAAATGATACGAGAAATGAAACGTCGTCATCCATTAATAACAATTGGTCAAATACAAATGCGTTTACAACGTACATCAAATCGTGTATTAAGTAAAGCATCAATATCACGTATATTAACAAATAGTATACGTTTGGGTAAACGTGCTAAACGTTCAGTTGATGGTGAGGATGATCAAGATGGAATGAATGAAACAATGGTTAATGGTAATGATGAATTTATGCAATTATCATCTGATGAAAATACAGGTGGAGCTATATTTATTGATGATACAAATGATGATGAAGAAGATGATGATGGAATGATAGAAAATACTTCATCATTAAATAATCTTGATGATTTTCAACGTTTTATGTTACGTAAAACAAGTGTTAATGGTGATGATTCAATGGTTAATGAGAATTTAGAACAATGTGATGATAATGGTTATCCTATAACATATCCACAATTGGGTAGTGAAGAAGATGAAGATGAAGTAAAAAATAAAAAAAAAACAAGAATTTGAATTAAAGTAAAAAGAAAAAACTTATTTTTTGTTTATTTAGTTATCTGATGAAAATGAAATACCAACACCAGTTGATCTTCGATCTGAAATCACATCAACACCATCTGTAGTTAATGGTAAATAATTTTATTTTTCGAAAAACTAAATTTTTTTTTTAATAAAAAAGGTAATACACCAATGTTAAATGAAAATGGCTGTTGGAATTTAAGTACAAATACAGTTAAATCTGAACCTGTTTGTGTATTTGTTAATCGAAATTATGATGAAAATTCTTCTGATAGTGAACATCTTCAAGAACAACCATTAACAATTGATGAAGAAACAAATAAAACTACAAATACTACATTACCAACGTATGTTTTATAAATAGAAAAATAAAATAATTATAAATTTTTCTTTTAGAATCTCAAATTCTCATACATCAAATTATCGACGTGGAAAATGTTGTCCAATATGTGGTGAAAAAAATTTTTCACGTCTTTCTCATCATCTTGCTGTTACACATAATCTTCAACGACATGAAATGTTAACATTACTTGCATATACAGATCAAAATAATAATAATAATCATCCATCAATAGCAAGTGTTAGTGGTAGTTCACCAACAAATACACCATCAATATCCATGGATAAAAGTCCACAACAAACACCAATTAGTATTAATACAAATAATCAACAAATAACATGTCCATCATCACCAATAAGTGAATCAGATAATCATCATCAATCAGCATTAACAACAACAACAACGACAACAATAACAGCAAGTTCATCACCTATTGATAATCAATCATCAAATTATTTACCTGTTGATGGTAAAAAACGTTTATTATGTCCACGTTGTGATACATGGGTTTTAAATTTAACGGATCATTTAATAAAAAAACATCATTTAATATCTAAACAAGAACGTTTACCATTTTTACGTTTAGCACGTAATCGTTATGCAACACCATCATCAACACCAAATACAATTATAAATGGTAATGATGATAAACTTACAACAAATTCATTTCTTATTAGTCCAGATCATTCATCATCAAATATAAATCAAACAAATGAACATCAAACACATTCTCAACAATCAAATATACTTCAACAAGCAGCCAATAGAAAATATCAAAATATTGTTAGAAAATATCGTAAAAAATTTTTAGGTTCAATGCAACCACCACCGTCACTACCATCATCAAATCATTTAGCAACATCATCATTATCAAATTCAAATCTATCATCAAATAATACAATTAATAAATCACCTTCACTTTCATCATATGATCATTCGTTAGTTCATTCAAATCTTACATTACCTATACGTGAACAATCACCAACAACAGCAACATCTGGAAATCATAATCTTTTAACAATGAACAGTATTCAATCATTATTAACAAATAATTCAAATAATCAATGTAAACAAGAAAAATTCAAATTTTCAACAATTAATGATAATTTTCCATCACGTACTTTTTCAGCTATTAAAACATCTGCAAGCAATAATCATATTAAAGATCAACAACAGGTAAATTAATAATATTATTTACCAATATCTTATTTAACCTCTTTTATTTTAATCTGTTCATTATTAACTGAAAAACAGCGTCTATATTAACAACCCGAAAAATCAGTCGTACGAGAAAAATTTTCCAACTGATAAAATCAATTTTGATTCAAGATTATATGAATCCAAATGAGCTATGAATACTCTCAAAAAAAAAAGCTCGTACTCTTAGTTTATCGCTGCGGAAATACTGCACTACTACGAGATTTTTTAAATAAATGCCGTGGTTCAGCAAACACTTTTGCATAGAGACAGACCTTAGCGAGAGTAGTTGATTGTGAATGTTTTAGACCTTGTTGCTATTCCTTCCCTAATTATGCTCGAAATTTGAGGATAGAAGCAACTGAAAAAGACCTGTCTCTATGCAAAATTCAAAAATCAATTTTTCTGAACCACGACATTCATTTAAAAAAATACCCTACAACTGCAATAATTTCATCTTTTTAAGGTATTTCTCGCTCATTTTGACCTGCATAGTCTCAACTCAAAAGGAATTTATCAGTTGGAGGACTTCCCTTGTTAGATTCGCTTCTATCCAGATCAAACAATCAGGCAGTAAAATCTTACAATACCGTACTTCTAATCTTGTAATATCAGACGAAAAAACATATAAAAAAAATCATAATCTCAGAAATCGTATGCTAAATCGTGTAATAAGATTACAGGAAATTTTATATGATAGTAAGATCTTTCAAGAATGTACGTTTGATTTTTTTTTCATCTAGATGGTAAGGATGCTGAAATTCCGTCTTCGAACTCTAATTAAACAGAAAGTAATATATAATAGTCAGTTCGATTTTCAGTTCCGATCCGACGTCTTGCTATAAATCTGATTGCAACTAATACTGCTAATGTCAAGAGTGACCTTCCAATCTTGAAAAATTTTCTTTTTTTTTTTCTCCAGCGGAGTTTTAGCATGCTGTTTTTCTTTCTCACAAATTTCCAAAAAAAACGCATCCTGGCAATCTCGGAACACTCCTGGTTATTATAAATTTGAAATTTAGATCTGAATGTCATTTTTTTTTACACTTAGCATGAATTCTGTTTTGACATGCTATTTTTGTTCGATAGTTGTAATTCAACTCTTTTTATTTTCTAGTTGTCAACTCATCAAAAATTTGAACAACGTTTAACGGTATTTCGTCAACAATTTGCTGTAACATTAGCGATGCAAAATTCTCTCATGCAACAAATGGAATTATTACAACGAAGTTTTGTTTGTATTGAAGATGAATGGAATGATATGAAAAAACAAATTATGTCATAAATTAAGTGTATTGATACATATATTTCTTTTTTTTTTCCTCAGATCAGATATTTCAAATTTTTTTTTTCTGTTGATATGAAAAAAAAATTAGCATATGTTTTGTTCTTTTTGTTTTTGTTTTTGTGTTTTTTCCTTCTTCTAAGAAGCTGATGAAAAAAATGGCGTGCTACAAATACATGTTTTTTTTTTTTGTATATAGATTTTGCAAGAGAAACAAACAAATCATTCTTGTTTGAGCAGTAGTTTGTTTTTTTTTTTTTGGTGCTTGAACATTCCTTATTGCTGTTATCTGTTACTTCATCTTCTGATAAATTCCAGAACGCATATCTGTAATGAATGACAGTGTGTCTGTATGTATCAATGTTTTTTTTCTTTGAAAAATTCTATCAGTAACATCACATTCTTTGTGTTCTATTCGTTCGTTTTCTTTTTAGTCTGTTTTTCTTATTCATTTGATTGAAAAAAATGATGTGTGAATTTATAGATCTATCGATTTTTTTTTCTCTCAAAATATAGCAACAATCGCTGATTATATAATTATTCAATTTGTAGCTATGTGTGTATGAAACTCGTTTTTCTTTTTTTTTTAATAATATTTATCTGTCATTTTAAAAGTATCACTGATGCTTTGTTTCTTTTCGTTTTTGTTTTATTCGCGTTTTACAATCTTTTTTTTTCTTTCTTTTAAATATTGAATAATAATAGAAACAAAAAATTTAAAAATTTTAATTCAGATTTTTATGATAAAAAGAAGAAGAAGAATATCGTTTGTGAAATATTATATTGAAATTTGACTGATTTGTTAATATTCTTGGATGTATGATAAATTTCAATATAATTCTTCTTAATAGTTTTTAAAAGAGTGTTTGTTTTGAATGTTAAGTTTTAAGACCATAATATAGTCTGAAGTGGTATGTATTCATTGAGTACATTTTGAAATCTGAAAATTGGTTTTAAACGTTAAGAGCTTAGAAAAGATTCAAATTTATTTAACGAAAATAGCGAATAGCGCTTTTTTCAAACCAACTTTTTTATATGAAAAGAAAAGTGCAGAACCGTTCCCACTTCTCCGATCTAGTACGTTCGATCGAGTCGCAACTTCTTTCACATATCGTGTATACTATTTGGGATGCGTAGGTTTTTTTTGTTTCAAAAAGTATTGTTCTGTTGGCTTTTGGTAGCTCTTACAAAAAGAAACTCTATTCAAAAAAACATGCCTTGTTTAGAGTATCTTCGATATTTTGTTTTTTTTTTATTCGAAAGACAAAAATAAAAAGATACTTCCTTCCAAACAATATCTAGTGCCTGTAAAAGAATTTTCAGCTCGATTGAACATACCATCTCGGCGAAACAGGGACAAATATTCGGATCATTATGATCCCAGTATCTCATAGAAGATAGTATCCGAGAATTTTAGATCTAGAATATCTTTTGCTCTATTTGTCAAGAGCTACCTACTTTAAAAATTTCAAAATTTTCCAATGAGCCGTTTTTCAGAAGTCTCGAAAAGGGGGAGGCATCCCTAATGAATTAAATTAATCATAATTTAGATATATTTTTATGCAGATAGAAATTTTGATTTTTCTTTCTCGAATATTAATCCTTTGATTCATAGGCAGTAGAATCGTAAAGCTTGAGTAGGCTCAAGCGTATCCTAGCTTGATAATTCTTAAGCTAGAATAGACTCAAACGTTTTTTTTTTCTCTAGGCATATGCATAGTTCATGTAAAATATTGGTAATGAGTCACCATTGTTGAGACATTGTTAGCATTGGTTATTATAGGTTATTAAAAAGTCAAGATATAGACGTTCAGCAAGAGAATAAGAACGAGAGGAAAGAAAAAAAAAAGAAAGGTATGTGGATGCTTGTATGTATTGATATATGAACTTGTAGGATCACGCCATATGTAGAATAAAGAGATTATCGAAATATAATTACATCACATTAAAGATAAGATACAATGTAATTAAATTGACGAAATAATAACAGACACCAACTTTACGAAAATATGTACTTTTTATAGCAGTGTGTTCGAGTGTTTCACATTGACCGTATGATCAGTGTATGCTAACTACACTTATTCGATAGACAGTTAATCGAAACTGTGCGTCTCTATTTTTCTCCTCTCATTAGATTGTTAGATTTGAGTAGCAAATCTCAATACTTGTAGCAATGTAAATAGTTCTCGTCATGTTCTGTGGCTAATAATAACATTTTCTTAATCAAACAGACTTCGATGACATTTTTGAGAAAATATCGAGTTTTAAATAAGTATGCGATGATGTAGTTTTGGTCTACTAATCTCAAATATGTTAATAATTTTTCTTTGGAAGTGTCTCTTGAGTAATAATTAACCTTGGGATATTTTCTCCTTTAAGTTTTCATTGTTATGTTTTTATGTGATTATGACGAATATTAACCATAGAAGATATGATAGAATGGACAATCATTGTTTCTTCACTCTTGTCTTTCTATGTATGTTTCAATAGTACGCGCACACTTTCAAAAGTTAACCCTCATATTTTGTATAAATAATCTAAAGGCATTTTAGAGTATTCGATGCAATTTTTAAACGAAAAGTACCTCTCAATATTATAGATAGAAGAGAGTCAGAACTACATTTTAGTAAAATCAAAAAACGTTTTCATCATTCTTGAACTAGGAATTATTACTCAAAGAATTAAATGAAATAACGTTCGGTTTTGATTTGTACGTGTAAAATGATTACAAAAATGTTTTTATGATCATCTAGAAAAATCAAAGTACATCATTTAGTTTTTATTAATTCTTATATAAAACTATTATTTGATTAGTAAGATCAACTATATTCAAATATTTAAAATGATTTCTCTTCAATATCACAAATACATTCGTGTTCATATAGTGAATTCCAAATTTTTACAATTGGATTTCAGCCAAAGTTCTATTCATTTTCATACGTACGAAATAACAATGACTTGATCATCAAGAATTTTCTACGAAATTTATTTCTCTCATAATATGTCAATCTTTTAAAATAATCTATTTTATAAAATATTGATAGTTTATATTAAAAAAATAAATATTATATAAACAAAAAGTTAGTATTACTATTAAATGAAGGTCATTATAATCCAAGTTAAAATTAGCATAGTAGATGTTGAAGAATATACTAAACATACAACAATAAATTAAAAGAAAAAAAGAAGATAGTCGAACTACCTGTCGATGTCGATGATTCATAACATGGACGATTGTTAATTAAAGCAAAAAATTGAACACGATGATTCCAACCTTCACTTACATATAGATTACCTTGATTGTCAAATGCCAAATCAGTTGGATGAAAAAATTGATTACTTTCATTACCTTGACCTATTGTTAAATATGATTAGCGAAAAATATAAATAAATTTTTCACTCTGCCAGCAATCGGTCAATTTACTAGCAGATCAGTCAGTCTAAAATCTGTATCGCTTTCATTTCTACATTTATTCATTACTGACTTAAGGTATCCCTTTTCGTGACTCAAAATTTTTGATTTTTTTTTTTGTGGTTATTGTATAGTCTGAAGTAATTAGATCATAGACATTTTTTTAACGTATAAATTCTATATTCACTAATGATTTTCTTGATGAAGTGCGATTAAAACAATCTACATACCATTACCACCGGCGATAGTTTCACCTTCGATTGCACCATTTCTCCATCGTTGAATTCGATTATTTAATAAATCAACAACATAAACAGTTTTTGTTTCTTCATCCACACGTAAACCATATGGTCGATCTAATGATTTAGCATCAGATCCTGGATCACCATCACTTGATCCAGCTACTGTAACACCTTCTTTGCCATCTTTTAGCCATTTTTGAATGCGATGATTTATTAAATCAGCTATGTACAATGCTTCTGTAGTTGTATCTATAAAAATACCTTGTGGTTCATTTAAATGATCTGATCTTGGTCCTTTCTTGTCAGTTTCACCAGCTACCATTGTAGTCATATTTGTTTTAGGTGACCATTTAAGAATACGATGTCTATCATGTTCTGACATATAAATATTTTTCTCTTTATCTAACCATACTCCTGTACAACCACGACATTGATCACCAATTTGTATACCATGTGTAGCACCTTGAATCCATTTTTCTACACGATTAGCACCATTCATTGCAATATATATAGTCGGAAAATCATCATTATCATCATCAACATAGATTTTATAACCATGTGAGAGACGAGATAGTAGAGTAATACCTGTTGTAGTTGATTGATCAAGTGGGAATAGTTGAATACGATTATTAAATGTATCGGACACATACAAACGTTTTTTTCTATCATGAATAAAAATTCCTTGAGGATAAGATAGTTGTTGAGGACTAGCACCAGATATACCCGTGCCAGCAATTGTTATACCAGTCGTATTCCATATCGCACAAGGACTAATACTAATTGATATCAGTGAAGGTATGCAATATAGAATTACAACTTAAATATAAACAAATATTTTATAGAAGTTAGTTTAGACTAAACTTACAAAAAAACGTGATCACAATCTGCATCTTTAATGATGATAAATAGAAAAGTAAATATAAAAAATAAATCTGTATGAAGAAATGACTGAGTAAAAAAAGATAAGATATGAAATAAAATTTACTTTCGACTGAATAGGGCATGCTTTCTATTTTAAATGTTAAACTAAGACTAACAAGGGAACGTTTCTAAGAGTCAAATCGCTTTTTAATCGAGATCATGTAGGTTCGAATAAGTTATGAATCTCTAGGAACAGCAGGGAAGCTGTATTTTGAATTTTGACTTGAAAAATTTTCCGAGTATGAAAATCAAAATTTTTTCAATTCTTGGTTTTTAATCGATTGTATAGCATCGAAGTGTCCGCTGTCAAATGCCATATAAATGAGAGTCTACGTTTATTAAATCCTACTTTCAAAAATCTCTAACAGAAAACTCACGCTATGATTATTCTCTTAATGATGATGATTATTATTTCTCATTTCAAAGGTGGTTAAAGCACATGGGTCATTGGCCTCTAACACCATTGAGCCCGGCCAGTTTTCGTGACACAAATAAAGTGCAGAATTATCCACAGTTCTCCGACACAGTATATTTGATAGAATTGGAACTTTTTTTTTACAAGTACTAGATATTGATTTGGATACCTACTTTTTTTTCGTTTCGAAAAATATTGCTCTGCTGATTTTTCGAAAGAAAATGTGTTTTTGAGAGTACGCTCCGTATTTTGATATTTTCATTCGGATAGAAGGAATTGAACAGAAACTTAAACAATTAGGTGGCTCAAACGGTGTCTAGTATGTGTAAAAAAGTTTCAGCTAAGAAAACGAAACGATTGGGAGACCAACTTTCAGTCTTTGTGATCCCGATATCTCATAGAAAAAAGCATTTGGAAATTTTGAATCTAAGACAACCTTTGCTCTACTGATCGAGATCCATCTATCCTGAAAAGGGAGAGGGCGCCATTAACGCAAATAACGTATTGTAAAAGTTTCAAATCTTTTGATTGCTTCTATCTACAGATACGGCTATGGTAAAAGCATGTTTTATATGCAACTCATATATAATGGCAAATTTCAATGTTCTTATGTCAGAATAGGAGCAATCAAAAAAATCTGAACCACGCAATAGGCTTCTCTCGTTAATGTCCGCTGCTATGCAAAAGTACAAGTCGAAATTCGAAATTCAGTTTTTCTGCACCACAACATTCATTTAGAAACTACGATAAAAATGCATTATTTCCGCAACAAGAAACTAAGGAAACTAACTCTTTTCACGATACGCATAGCCCATTAGAACCAGTATGAATGTCCAAAGTGCCGACTCAAAAGCGATGTGTTCTCTCGTAAGATTTTTTTGGTCTTATTGACTGTCAGATATAAGAGCCTTGTATGTGATTTACAATTAATTCAATACTTATGTTTTATTTTAATTAAATGATAACACTATTTGTTCTGATTGATTTTGAATTCATTTCTTAGGATTCTCTTATTCTTACATACATTAGCTTTTATTCTTCTAACTATTTCTTTCTTAGCTGCGATACGTTTTGCAAAGAAGAGCTTCGAATAACAACTTAATTTTTATGTAATATTTAATTGATAGAACCTTTCAAATGCAACATTTTTAAAGACAAACTTTTACTCGTTTTTCAAAGGTTTCAAGAAAGCAATTATACGAAACAAAAGCATCTTGACACGATTGTATGAAAGAGTAGTTAACAATTTAAGTGTTTACTTGATCTGGTTTTAATTCACTTTTATTATAACATCGTTCGCTCACTGAACTTGATTAGTGGATCTAGTTGAACAAAATTTAATTTTGTGTTTTTAAATGATTATTTTGATGCGTCAAATTGAATTTGTCATTGAAACATTGATTCATAGCGTGCTCTATGTGGAGACAAAAAGTCACCTTGTTTGTTGTCCTGAGAGACATTGTTATAATGGCAACATTACTTTTCTAAAATCGAGATAAGAAAATTTACTTCATTTTTTTATTTTATTTTAAATAACAATCATGGGAACAACAAAAGATGACATGGACCGTATTGGTCTATTCAAAGAAATGGAATATGTTACGATTAAAGATCCATATAAAGAAGCTGCCAAAGGTAAGTTTTAATATAATCTTCGACATGTATCATATTTTATTTCGATACTTTTTAATTAAAAGTTAATTTCAATGAAGCAGCTTACAAGAATAAACAGATGATGTCTAAAAGCTCAAAAGAACGATCAACAGGATCCATGGCTGGATATTTTGATACGGAATTTAAAATTATACCCGGTTCATATATTGATCCAATATCAATGCGTCGTAAAGCTCGTCTTGAAGAAAAGAAGAAAAATATTGTTACAAAGCCATTTGTTAGCATGTATCGAGCCCGAAGTCCGTACGTGAACTAATAACTAAAATAGATAGTTTCCAATGCTAAACATGAGACATACAAAACAATGCTAACTAGACCTTGAAATTATATGCTTCATCTTTAAATACAGTGAGCAATGGTGATGCTTGAAGATATACAAGGTGGTTCATAAATAACTAGACGATAAAAATACTCAATATCTCCAGTCTGCTTTAAGCAATCGAATTGATATTGTTTCTGAGTGATAGACGAGTTTTCAAAGTTTTTATTCATAAGGAAATCGCTGAATTAGCACTATTGACTTTAATAAAGAAATACACTATTAGCCGAATGTATCCCCTTGTGATCTCAGCTATTCTTAAGGCTATATGTCTAAAATTTTTAGCATATGCACTACCTTAGAAATATACGCTAAAGAAACCAGTCCGGTCATGATTATTTGAGTTCAAGAGGAGTTACGATATATGATAGCTCAGCTTTTGAACGCTAGATTGAAATTCGATGAAATTTATAGCGACAATATATAAGCTAGAAAATTTAACATATCTAACTCTAAGAATGGCTGACGAAGGGACCTGTCCCAATATTAAATCATTTTTCAATCGAGACGATGTTCATTTGATGAGTAATAGAAAAATCTAGAATGGTTGCGTTTTCTGCACCTTCGTTCTTGTGATATCGAAAGTGTACTGGATTTTTCAACAGGAATATTCAAAATTTTCTCATATGTAAAAGCAAATTTTGTTCATATATTTACATCTCCAGAAAGGAAATACTAGAAAAGCTAAAACTTATGTAATAAACTAATCTCATTAAGAACTTTGTTCATGCAAAGTTTAAAGTTGAAACTTGAAAGTTGATTTTCTACATGACTCAAGAGAATAGGCAACTGCGAGACCGCCACGATCACGGTATGACTGTCACCAAAACTTTTCAACGTGTTCGTGACTGTAATCTTGATCAAGTTTTCCTAAGGGTTGCAAAACAACTGTCGATTGTCAATTAGAAATTGTACATTTGCAAATTTTTGTTTTTACTTCGATTTTCATCTATTTCAAATATTTTAAATACAATCACAAGATTAACAAAAAAAACCTAGAAATTTCTAATCAATAGCAAAACTATAGACACCAAATGGTTAACAACTGTTTATCTTTTCCATCACATTTTATCGTCATGAATATTAGTCAAGTCATCGTAATCATCACTACTGTTAGGTCGATGGGTGTCTCATGCCTCTCTAAACAAATATAGCGCACACTTTAACAATTCCACTATGACCGTGACTAATAAAAATTTTCTCGTGACCGTGACCAAAACAAGTCGGTCACGCACTTCTCTGCTCAAAAAGGACCACAGCTTTTTATTGACAACCCAGTAAGATTGCGAAATCTTCAGAATGAAGGACCGATAAACGCCACCATTCCAGACTTTTCTATTACTTACTAAATGAACACCGTCTCGGCCGAAAAGCGATTTAACACGTGAAGAAGTTCCCTCTAGAGATACTTTTGGCTTATAATGTATTTCTTCATTGAGGTCAATAGTACTTGTTCTTCATAAATTTCTTATGAATAAAACCTGCGACGAGTTCTCTATCACCAAGGAAAAAAACTCGGCCCAATTGATGAAAGCCAACTGAAAACATTGAATTCTTCGTATCATCCAGTTATTTATGAATAACTCTTATCAGCGAGTTATTTATCGTCACTATTCCATTCTTGATGTTAACGAGAAACATTTAAATTATAAAATAATGGTTTATTTTTTTCTTCTAGAGAAGGATTAGGTTCATTCTATGGAACAATAGGTGGTCCTATAAAAGATACTGATCCAACAAAATCAAAATATCGTGAACGAACAAAGCCACCATCAGAAAAAGCGAATTGTAAAATTATTCCACCAAAACAAGGAACTGGTTATGGGTATATTATTCAAATATCTTATTCAATGATGTTGAACTTTTTCTTTTTGTTTTAATAGTTATCCAAATTTAGGTATTGATAAAGATCCTCCATATACATATAAAGATAAAGTAGATAAATATGATGCATTACTAGAAGCTCAACGAGTAAAATTGAAATTTGCAAAAAAAAACAAATAATTTCGTTTTTTTTTTCTTTTCATATTAGAAAGATTATACTCAACATAAATCAGCATTGAAAGCTGGTGTATTTAAATTAAATATGCATCCAAAAGAATATTTTGATCGTAATCCATTTGGTGGTGATGGTAAAGGAATTAAAAGTCATGATGAAGAAAAACAGCGTTCAAGTTCAGCACCAACTGGTAAAAAAACATTTAAATTTAGTTCACCAGGAAAATCGGTTTGTTTGAATTTTATTTCTTTCTTTCTTTGGGTAAAAAAAAAACAATCTCTATTATATTTTTTTCTTTCTAGCTTGGTGGAAATAAAGATGGTTGTTTTGATAAATTTCCTAAACGTAGTGAAAAAGATCCATACGTTATTGGTTCAATTTATTCTCAAGTTAAAAATATTGTTAATAAACAAGGAAAAACATATTATCCAAATAAATTTCCTAAAACACGTCCTACAGATTCAGTTATTAATAAAAATGTTAAAATACAAATTACACGTGAAAATTATAAACAAGCATTATCAAATTATTCAGGATTTCAATTGCCACAACCAAGATTATATGCGTCTGCTCATTAGAAAATGTGTGAATATCCGAGTGTCTTTCTTTTTTTTTTTTATATGCACTGCCTTTTTTTTTTATTAAAATACATCAAAATGTCAAATATAGTTGATCATATTGTTATCATCAGTCACGTATTCAAATAAAATCTTCATTAGATGAATTGCAAGCACGTGTCCAATAGTGAAGACAATATATCATCTTTTTCGATTGCTCAAAATCGTAGGTCAGTAGCTATCGAGTTATTGCGATTACATCTAGCCCCCTTTGATTCCGGTGCGGACATGAGTTACTCATTATTTCGAACAGATCTGACATTGTCTGCATGTATCAATCTTTTGAATTAACTAAGGACGTTTTTTTTCCTGCTTGAAATTTAATTCATTTGTACTTTCAGCATTCAGCTTGTTTAAAATTACTAAGATACAAAAAATACATAAAACGACATGGAATATTAATACACATTCACTACAATATTTTTTTCATAATAAATAAATCTATGGATGGATTTGTATCGTTAAAAATAGCTACGGAATACTAAACGACGATTTATTTTGGACTCTTATTGTTTAGTTTTTGCTGTTGTAAAGCTCCTTCAATATCCTACAAAAAAAAAAAAAAAAAAAAATCGATAAATTATCTTTTTATACAATGAAAAAATCTCACTTGGCGAAGAATTTTTTTTAAGTCGCTATAAGCAACATCAAGTTTATCATTTATTACAATATGATCATATACACCTGGTTCTTTACCAAATTTCATTGATTCTTTCGCTTCTTTTAAACGATATTTAATAGCATTTTCATTATCAGTTTGACGTTCACGTAAACGTTTTTCAAGAATTTCATAACTTGGTGGACTTATATGAATAAATAATGCATTAAGATCTGTTTTTCGAATACTTTTAACACCTTCTTTATCAACATCAAGTACGCATATACAACCTGTTTTAGCGACATCTTCGACAGCTTTTTTACTAAACAACAAATATACATACACGCATATTTTGGAATAAATACAGAATGAACCAAAAGTCGTTTAACTAGGAACAAAAATTTGAATTGAGATTGTAGCGATGGCAGTGATCACCTATCTTAGGAATCAGTTGAATTTTATAAAACATAACTAAACTGAGAGAACTAACGAGGAATTTCTTTAAGTATTTCCTTTCGATAACTTTTTTTTTGCCTATAGATACAACGTAGTGTTTCGTTAGGGATTCGGGTTTCTATGGAGACTTGGCTAAGCTATCGAATTTTTTTCTAGAGGCTGCAACTTTTTCGGAAAACTCGTATATTCAAATTTCGGTCTGAAACTTTATGTATGAGTGAAGAGCACAACCATTGTACCATTCGAGCAAAAAATATCGATAAAAATAAATTTAATAATAAGAGATAACGAAGTGTTGCATTTGATAGAACAATATCGATTGCGTATGAAAATATACTTCAAAAAATATCGCTCTATACTTTGCTAGTAAAATTAAATTTTCTCTCGAATGGAAAAAGATTTTTGCTTGAATTTTTGGGATATTACTCTACTCTATGAGCATGAAGTAAAACAAAGCCCTACATTTTGTCTGAAACTCACTATTTTTATCTTGTATATAATTTTTGCACTAACGAAGTTTATGAAACAAATTTCTTTTCCTTCTCAAATAATTTTCTTCCTATTTCTCTCTAATATTCAATCAAATTAAATTTAAAAAAATTTCTCCAAATGAAATATCAATGATTCTAATGTCGGTCCTATGCAAAATTAATGAAAACGTGTCTCAATATCCATTATCGACAGTTTTTCATTTTTAAAACTTGACCGAAAACTAAAACTAAAGACAGATTCTAAAAGCTTTTCCTGAGCTCTACAACTCTGATTGTCAAACTAATTTAAAAACAGAACGTAATGTGATTAAAACAAATCAGTTTTCTTTTAACAGATGGCCCTAAAAACTATTTATTTGGGACTGTTACTATGATTTCTCGAAAACTTGTTTTTTTTTGAGAAGTGAATAGCTATCTTTAGACCAGTAAAAACAGAAAAAAAATTATCGAAATCGATTGAGTTAAAGTCGAGTTATAAGCATCTTTTCTCTCGGGATACAACTGTAGAATGATTGCGCTCTGCACTCATATATAAAGAACTTAACTAGACTAATTTCCATAGAAAAAAACTCACAAGTTTTGAACAAAGTCTCTTCGAGATATAAGACTTTCAAGATATAGACTCTTTTCCATGGATAGTGTATACTATTGAAAGCTTCACATCTCGAAGAGACTTTATTCAAAATTTCTGAATTTTTTTATGGAAGTTCGTCTAGTTGAGTTTCCTATATGTACAAAGTTTCAGATCAAAATTCGAAAATACGAGTTGTCCGAAAACTCGGGTATCTCTAGAAAAAAATTCGATGGATTATCCAAATCTCAATCGGAACTCAAGTCCTTTCAAGATTTTTACTAGAACACTACGAATTATTTATAGACAAAAAAAAAACATTGGAATTGAAAAGGGAGGGGGTAGCTGAAGAGATTTTCTCATTAATTCTTACGATTTACTCATTTGTTTGAATAAAATTCAACTATTTTCTTAAAATACACTTCCTCCAACCAAAAAAATCGAAATGAATCTAAGATCACTATAGTCTTATCATACATTCACCGTTACATCCCTAATTTGAATATCTCGACTATATTCTGACTGAGCGAGTAGATGGTTGGTTTTTTTGCTATTATTGATAAAGCAATATTCTTATTGACATTGGTAAAAAATAGTAATGGTTAATGAACTATGGCAAATGATATTGTAGTTTTTCATTAATGTCTCGTCATTTACGGTTGAAATTTTTCTTTTTTTAATATAGAAAATTAGTCAAATAATAAAAATTTGTTATTGAAATTAACAATCAAATTTCAAAATAGAATTTTCCATGTTTTTTAGTTGCATTCTAGTAATGATATTCAAATTTTTTTAAGCGACTTTTGCATCATTCTGTAATTTTTTTAAAATTTTATTAACCTTGTTCCATAGAGATTTGAAGAAAATTCTGTTGTTTCAAGAAATTCACCATTAGCAATCATTTTTTCTATTTGATTTCGTGGTGCAAAATGATATTCTATTGATTCAAATGAAATGATTAAGAGAACAAACTATCTATTACATACCTCGACCATCTTGTTCGCCTGCTCGTGGTGCTCGTGTAGTGTCTAGATAAAAATAAATAATGAATAGATATAACTGTTAGATACGTCAATTAGACATACGAGAAATACTGAAAGCAAATATTGATGGATATTCTTTAAATAATTTATTAATTAATGTAGTCTTGCCAGATCTAAAAAATAGATTTTATAATAATCGTCCTTGATTTTTATTTTTAAAAACAAAACAATTTTTTTTATTACTACTATATAACAAAAATAAATTTTTTAAATTTTACCCGCTTGGCCCTGAGAAAACAATAGGACGAGGTTTGAACGAAGCTATCTTAGCGAAAGTTCGAATCGTTATTCTAAAAAAAAATTATAATTAATAAGTATGTTAATAATAATAATCATAATAAAATCATTTTACCGAAAACAAATATTCATGATAAATATCGTTGAATAATATCTTGTTATTAATTTTTTAAATCAATCTAAACTAACAAAAAAAAAATACGAATGAATTCAGCAAAATAAATCATAAAAATATTTTCTCTATTAAAATGTAAACAAAGCAAGACGATTTTCGTGAATAGATTTTTACGATGAACAGAAAGAGGACTCGACACTCTATGAAAAATCAATATTGATTCTAGCGTCATTCTCTATACTTTGATCATGTGAGCAATATGCGGAGAAAGAAAAGAAAGTACAAGTGCCATTAACTAATAGAAATATGATGATTCATTTCTATAATAGAATACATTTGTATTTGTTTTACCCGCCAACGAAAATAGTTCTTTAATAAGTAATTTGATCTATTTTGAAAATAGGAAAAAAATGTTCAATACTACTTTCAAATACAAATACCTCAATGGATGTATGTGATATTTATTTTATATTGACAAAAATCTTTCCTTCGATTGGATCTCAGCCAACATAATGGCTAGATGTTTGAAAATTTCTGTACAAGTATTGCATCAGATATGTAGATCAAAGACACCATCCGGATTTCGTTTCGTAGTCTTAAAAGGCTACCTATTCAAATTTATCTTGATTCTTATCAAACACATGAGTAATTCTGAGAATTCCGAGTAATTTGCATTGAAAACTTAAATAGAATGTATCGTCTTTCATCATGCAGAAGATAAGTTTATGTTATCTCTAATATGATGGAACTTACAGAAAATAATGTCAAGATATGAAGAAAATTTCTCTACAACTTCTAGATCAATTTATTGAATTCTTGAAGAGTTTTACGAAATTTTTATAACAGATAGCTGAAATATAGCACTACATAATGGAAGACCTGGTGACTTATAGCATCTATCGCTTCCAGAATTATGAAACTCAAAGAAAAACTAAACGTCATTCATCATAACCCAATATTGACTCAAACAAGTGGGATGCGAATAGTTCTGTTGACCTATATTCATGGCCGAATACGAGTCCAAAAATGTTCACACCTCTATCGCTTATGGCAACTGATACCTAATGGATAAAGTTTTTTGTCTAGAAGTGTAAATTAGATTATCTCTTGCAAAACAAGTATCAATCTTCTTGCCTTAGAAATACTTTTCTTGACTAATATCTATTTTGAAATATATACCGAATGATTAAATAAATACCTAAACTGATATTATCGAATTGTGACTGTCATCACTACACAGAAAAGGTACAACCAACCAGATTGAAATTTTTACCACAGATAAAGCATTCGGAATAACGAGACATATATAAAGGTTCGGAGCCAAAAGCTGAGTGTTGACTTTCAGAGCTCTATAAATTCAGATAGGAAAGTCAGAAATGAAAACGGTCAATTTCACCTCTGAAGGATACTTCCAAGTATCTGTAGTAGAAATTTCAGCCCGATCGAACAAAGTTAGAGAGACGTCGTAAGCAGCCAGCATTGAGAAAACTGGTATTTTATATCATGCTAAAAGAAAAGAATTTCAATATGATTATCATGAAAAAAAGATTTCTTAAATCCAGTAACTCTATAACAGAAAGCTGTTTTAGAATCGGATGATGTCTCTGATTGCACTTGGCGCTCAGCTCGAAATCGAATTTTTGGGTTAAAAAAAGGGGCACAGTCTCTTAATTTATTTGAATATCAAATCATATCTTAAGTTTTTCTTTTGTATTATATTTGAAATTGTAGATTCTATTTCTTCGTCTAATAATAATAATAATCGTGAAGTTACGATCAATCAATCGAGATTAACTGTAAGTAAAAATTGATCTATTAAACGTATACAGTTTTATTCAGCTTAATAATGAATTCTATGAATTATGGCAATGTAATCAAATAAGTGAATTTATTCAAAAAACAAAATATAAATTAGTTAATAATCTTCAAGAATTATTTCGAGATATATTTCCATGTAAGTTAAGATAATATTAACATTTTTTTTTTGATGTTTTGATTATTTTAATTTATAAATAGATGTTGGTTTGTATATTATTGGATCAACAGTTAATGGATTTGGTCAATGTAATAGTGAACTTGATATTTGTTTAATGATATCACATGATAAAGTAATTGAAATTAAGATATCGAAAAATTGTTTATCATCTTTTGTTAGTTAAGTGAATACGAAACAAGTTATATCTTACAAAAAATTCGTAATATATTTCAACATGGAGGTAGATTTCTACTTTATCTATATTTCTATTGATTTATTTTCGATTAAGAATATTTTCGCGATGTAAAACTAGTCAGAAGAATATTTCCAATACTTAGATTTTTTGATTTATTAACGTATGTTTAATAATAAGAATATCTATTACTATTTTTTTTTTCGATTATCTATTATTATTATATAGATCTATTACATGTAATATCTATTTAAATGAAGCTGTTACTATACGAAATACATTTCTAATGAGATTTTATTCAGAATGTGATCATCGATTACCAATTCTTATTAATACTATTAAGTTAATTTGAATAGGATTTTTTTTTTCGAATAAAATCTCATATTATTTAGATATTGGGCATCAAAAGTTAATCTTAAACAACGAATACATAATAGTTTTAATGGATATTGCCTTACATTAATGTGTATCTACTATTTACAAATAGCAATTTTACCTTCACCGATTGCACCTCGTTTTAATGAATTATTATCAAATAATAAATTTAATAAGAATATTGATATTCGTAAATTAAATTTATTTGATACAATTGATCTAGCAAAAATATGGATTTCAACAGATGTTACGATTGAAGTCGAAGATTTATTTATTGGTTTTTTTAAATTTTATGCAATTGATTTTGAGTATATATATATATGAAAATAATTTTATGGAAAATATTTTTTTTTGTTTTGTTGAATTTTTAGTTTTCCAAATGATATTATAAGTATACGAACTGGAAGAAAAATGAATAAACGAGAATCACTAAATGAAATTGATCGAATCAATCGATATGTTGTTATTGAAGGTAAGAAAATTATCAATTCGATTTTATGTTAATATCATTATTCTATTCTTATATCTAAAATTAAGTTTAGTCAATTTCATACAGATCACCTTGGTGAGACTTACAAAAGTCTAAAAGAATTCGTCTCCATAGGCCTCCGGAGTCGAATTATGATCGTTTTAGTTATATACCAAAAAGTAGAACGTAAAATTTTATTCATAGAGAAGTTATAATGATTCATAGAATATTCTGAAAGTTTTTGTTCATGATTTTTCATTGATGGGCAATAATTTTAATATGAAGATTATTCTACGAGTCATTCGATCTATATATTCGCGTTATTGTTTTTTCGGTGTGTAGAAAAAATTCAGTAAAATAATCATATCTCGGTCCCAAAGACATACGAGGACAAGTCCTTTTTGGCTTTTTCTAGTATTAGCGACTATGAGCTCAAAGGTCGGGTGGTTTCCTTATTAATATACTACATCCTGATTGACTATTTTCGAGCTCTAAATATATAGCATAAATTCGTAGTGTTTTACTTCTATAAAACGAATTGTCGAATTTAAAGTGACCATGCTACATCCAATAAAAACTTCCTCAATAATAATCGTAACGGGACGATCACGATAGGATTTTTTTCTGTAATACTACATATTAAACTTTTCTTTTGTAGACTCACTTTGTAACAGTAGAAATACTGAACGAAATCGAAAAATATCATGAAGTTATTACATATACTAAGAATTCGAAAACATGCATAGTATGCTAATCATACTATTAGAAAAGAACGAAAAATTAAAGATGAAATATTACTGCTCCATTAGTTAGACTAACATACGTGGATCCTATAAATTGATCATATCGATTTAATTTTGATTCTCTTCAGTAATGATAACTGACATAAAGAATTTAAATAATGGTTTGGATAGAAAAATTTATTTCCAACAAAGATTTGGAGAAAATAAAATTCTCATATGATTCCCATAATCCAAAAGCTGGTTTTCCAGCATCTCAAAATAAAAGTTTCTTTTGATTACCCATAAATCTCTAGAAAATGAGAAGTTTTAAAGCATTTCACGACAGTTTGTAACTGAACTACATCAATTTTAAGGAACTTACAACTATTCCTTTTTTCAATAGGGAATGGCGAAAAAACTTAGAGATTTATGTGTAATCAAAAGATACTTTTATTTTAGGATGCTGAAAAACTAGATCACTATTTAAATTCTTTATGCCAGTTACCATTACTGAAACAAATCGAAATTAAATCTCTATGATCAATTTTTGAAGTCACTGTACGTCTCAATGAGTTTTAATCTTTTTCGAAATCGTTCTAATTCGTATTAGATTTAACGAATAATTTTGTATTTTTTTTGTTTCTATAATAAATATTTATAATTCATCAAGCCCAAAATGTGTAGTTGCAACGTGTAAATTGTTGTTAAAAGACAAAAACGAAACAAAACAAAAATAACCATATAAATTTGATTTAGAACCATTAATTGGAACAAATGTTGCATCAAGTATTTCAACTGATAAAATCTATCAAGAATTAATAGAAATATTTCGTACTACTTACAATAAAATATCATCAACACATCGTCTTACTTCTCTATAAATCAAATAATAATTCTTTTTCTTTCGTGTACTTGTTTGTTTCTTTATACGATAAATAAAACGAAAGATACAAAAAACAAAAAAAAAAAGAAGCAAAGAAAAAATTTACATAATTATTAACCCGAACATCCACGACATCCACAATGAACACATTCAACAACTTTGCCTTCTTCTAATTTTTCTTTTGGTACACGACAAATACATTTTTTATTAAAATTTGTATCACGTGGTTGAATACATCGAAGACAACAAAGATTTTCGTAACCTTGTTTTTTCCATTGTGCTAAAACGAAAAACAAAAAAAAAAAACAATTTTTCTCTTACAAAATTAAATTCTCATCTTACCAATTAAATTTTTATCACCAATCGATTGTTTTAAACAATAATCATATAATTCTTTATTTATTGTCTTACGTTTATAATAAAGATCATAGATATAACGTGATTTTTGATGATGAATTTTAAATATAGGCCATAATGTTTCAACTTTACGTTTACCGTCATGTGGTGCTAATTCAGCTTCACGCATTTTAGCTTCTAATTCATCTAATGTTGGTTCAATTAAATCCCTAAAAATTATATTTTTAAATACAAAAAAAAAAAAAACATCACATTATAATTAACACTTACCATCCATCGGGTGGTGGTTTTGAAGTTTTTCGTACTTTAACCATTTTAAAATAATCTACAAGATAATTGTATTATTAGAACTTTAGTTTTATTTATTAATTTCTTGTTTTTCTGTTCTTTTCATTACTCTTGTGAAACAAAAAACGAAAAAAAGCAAAAACAAAAAAACAAAAAAAAAAAGACTATTACATTCCTTTCTTTTCAAGCAAAGCATACAATTGAGAGACATAAAGAACAAGAAAAAAAACACACACACACAGAAAAAGTATGATAATCAATAATATTGTTTAAAGATTTGATTTTTTCTTTTTAATTTCTTTGTCGACGTTTAGCTCTGAGCATTTGACGTGAACCCTTTGATGCATCATCACTCGTAATACTGAAAGGACTAAAATAGAAAAATAAACAATAACAACAATTAAAATATAATATGAAGAAGTCACGAAGAAAGTTCCTCAATTGATGAATCACTTTGAGGTAGTGTCCTGCAACCAGGTCGGATGTGAAAAGTTATACCCGTGCAGGACACTACTTCGGAGTTTGTACTATGTGCATCAGATAGACCCTAATGAGTTGTGAATACCTTGAAAACAGTTCAGGTTCTTAGCTTATTGTTGCACTTTTACAGTAATTTTTAAGTCGATACCGTAGCTCAAACTGGTAATTGTCGTTTAAACTCATATTGGGCATACAACAAAGTCTTAATGGGACTAACAAAACGAGCATAACTCGACTTCAAAGGTCCATGAAGGATTTTTTTTATAGTTGTATCTCAGGATAGGAACAACGAAAAAGAGTTTTCCTAGCGTTTCTGAGGAGGATCCCCGGCATTGACTTAAAAAATAGCGTAAAAATGGAATAACTTAATAACAATAAACTAAAGATCCGAGCTCTTCTCAGCGCATTTGGATCCACATGATACTCATAGTCTCGCCATAAAAACGATTAATGAGTTGAAGGATTTTCCTCATTAGATTATTAGGTTTTTTTTTTACTTTGAAGGGTCAATTGTAGAACCAGATGAAGTTGATGTTGAAAATAGATTATTAGTGACTGGCATAGATGTTGTCCCAGTTGCTTGAAATGGAGTAGAAGCAGTCGATGTTGTACCAAAATTAAATGAACTCGATGATCCAACGGACGATAATGCAGATGGAGCAATACCGAATGCTGGTACTGTTGATGCTTGAGGTGCAAATGAAAAACCGCCAGTAGGAACGGCTGATGTTGTTGAAGTTTGAATAGGATTTGTTGTTGTATTTGATGTAGATCCAAAACCAAATGTAAATGGTGCACTATTTGACGAACTTGGAATTTTATCAACTGATGTTGAAGTTATTCCAAATGGAGTTGTACCAAATAATGGTAATCTCGAAGGACTAGCAACAGCAGAAGTAAATCCAAATGGAGGATTACTTTGTGTTGTTGCCAAAGTAGATGGAAAACTAAAACTACTAGTACCGAATTGAAATGGAACTGATGTTGTACTTGTTGTTGGCAATGCCAAAAACGAATTTGTCGTTGAAGAAGCTGATGTTATTGTTGAGGGATCAAAGAAAATTGGATTTATTACTGAAGATGATGTAGTCGGTTCTTGTGTAAGTGAAACTGACTGATCGGATGATATAGGAGCAGCTGTTGTTGTTGTTGTTGTCATTGAAGTACTACCAAATGGTGCAAAAGGTAGTTGTTTGGAAGATGACATTATCGCAACTGAAGGAGTAGTAGAACTTGTAACTGCTGTAGTAAGACTTGTTGATGATACCGAAGAAAAAGGCTGAAGTGTTGTACCAATTTGAAAAGGATTATTTGTACTAGTAGTTGAAAAACTTTCTTTAGTTGTTGCTGTGCCAAATACGGGTAGTGTGCTATTAGGTGCAGGATTTTCTTTAGTTACTACCACTGGTGATACAACTGGTGTTATGCCAAATTGAGGACGAAAAGCATTAGTTGACATAGGATTTTCTTGAGTTGTTGTTGTTATACCAAATTGTGGAGCAGCAATAATCACTGAACTTTCTTTAGTTGTTGTTGCACCAAAGTGCGAAGCAGCAGTGATCACTGGAGTTTCTTTAGTTGTCGTTATACCAAATTGCAGAGCAGTAGTAACCACTGGACTTTCTTCAGTTGCTGTTGTACCGAATTGCGGAGCAGCAGTGATCGCTGACCTTTCTTTAGTTGCTGTTGTACCGAATTGCGGAGCAGCAGTGATCACTGGAGTTTCTTTAGTTGCTGTTATGCCAAATTGCGGCGCAGCAGTAATCACTGAACTTTCTTTAGTTACTGTTGTGCCGAATTGCGAAGCAGCAGTGATCACTGGATTTTCTTTAGTTGTTGTTATACCAAATTGCGGAGCAGCAGTAATCACTGGACTTTCTTTAGTTGTTGTTGTACCAAATTGCGAAGCAGCAGTGATCACTGGATTTTCTTTAGTTGATGTTATACCAAATTGCGGAGCAGCAGTGACCATTGGACTTTCTTTAGTTGTTGCTGTACCGAATTGCGGAATAGCAGTGATTACTGAACTTTCTTTAGTTGTTGTTGCACCGAATTGCGGAGCAGTAATGATTGCTGAACTGAACTGCGGAGTAGCAGTGACTACTGAACTTCCTTTAGTTATTGTTGCACCGAATTGCAAAGCAGTAGTAGCGATCCCTGGACTTTCTTTAGTTGTTTGATTAATAATAGTGGTAGTAGGTGTAGGTATAGTTGATTCTTTTTCGATTGTTATTGTTGATTGAATCGCTAAATTAAGAGAAAGATAAACAGAAATAATCATTTCATATTCTAATTAAATTTACTGACCACTTAATTTTTTATAATTCGGATTAATACCATGACAAAGTGAACATGATGCTGTTTGTGCTGGATGTTCTTTAGTACATGAAGGACATTTCCAAATTGATTGAATAGGATGTAATGATGACAAAGGAAGTGTTGGTATTTTTGATATTATATTAGTATTTGTATTAATATTTGATTTTTCGATAGGAGTAGAACTAATTGATTCAGTACATTTTTCTGGATATTTTTTAGCATATTCTTCTTGTGCTCGAGCAAATTTTGGCCATGAAAATGGTGTAACATTACCAAGTACCTTTTAGATGAAATTTTTAATTCTTCTTAATAGTCTTTTGATTCTTACTTTAGGTTTGGTAATATCAATTGTTGGTAATGGTGATTGTATTTTTTCAATTGTTATCGAACTATTTGTTTGAATTGATGAATCTGTTTGAGTAGATGATTGAATTTTTTCAGTAGTTGGTACTGATAATGCTTCATATTGAATATCAGCTGGTGGAAATGCACGTTGAAGTTTTTTATTTGATTCTTTAGAATTTTCAATAATTAAAATCTATGTAAAAAAAAAAAATAATCATTTTTTTTTAAAGTTTTAAAAGATTATTAACTTACATTACATTGAATACCACATTCTTTTTCTTGTACTTTTGTTCGATTTAATTCCGAAGTATTTGTTTTTAATTTATGTTCATCAGTTGTTGACATAGATAATCTTAAAGAAAAGAAATGAATAATTATAAATTGAAGATAAGATAAGATTTTACAGTTCATTATCACGTGTACGATTAAATCGTATACAATCTTGTAAAGTTCGTCGACGAAGTCTTTCAATATAGGGTAAACGATGTGAATTAATTGATGCATAATTAACACCAAACATTTGTCGTTCACTTGATAACTAAAATTTTACATAAAAAAATATCAAAAATATTTGAGATTAAATTTTTTATTTTTATTTTTCTTACTAATCGATTTTTATTTGTTAATGTTGCTGATGATTGTTGACTATTTGGTGTAGTTAATTGTGGTCGATCAGTTAGACTGGTTGCAAGTAAATAATTTGCTGAAAATTCATCGGATTTAAGATTTGTTGTTTCAGTTGGTTTCTATAAAATAAAATATATTGGTGAAACTTGGTATAGATGTTTGGCGCACGAAATAGAGCTGGTTGTGAGATTAATAAAAAACAAATTTCATGCCGTCATACCTTACCGCTCAGGAGCCAAGCTCAAAAAAACAGTACGGGAAGTATTTTAATTTCTTATAAGAAACTTTCTATCTGTATGGGCAGATAGGTATTCACTTGTATTATTACATCATTCTTGAACTAATATTATAATAATAAAATTTTGACAAGAACTATTTGTATTACGATAATATCAGATCATATTTCTTTCTTGTCTCTTTTAATTAGAGTATACAAAAAGTAGTGTTAACAATATCATCAAATAATCGTCGTGATTATCGATACAAAATTTTATTCATTGAATCTATTTATCGAAATTTTTTTCTTTATTCTTCTTTATTTAAACTGTTTATATAGTTAAATAGTATCAGATCCGGAGAATTAGGTGAATATAACATTATTATTATGTCTTCCGATTCAAAATAATTGAACATATTATGTCACATTAGAAACGAGTAAGTATTATAGAGAGAATAGAGAATATATTTCGAAGACAAACATGATCTGATGTTATCGTAACACAAATAGTTCTTATCGAAATTTTATTATTATGATATTAGTTGAAGAATGATATAATAGTATACGCAAATAGAGTGTCGTTTTTACTATCAGTTCATATAGAACGAAAATTTCTTATAAGGAATTAAAATATCTCCGTCATTACTTTTGTTACGACCTAAGTGTTTTGAACTTCAAGTTTATCTAACATTGATGATTCAATTAGAAAATTTCATTTCCTCATCTGAAGAACTATGCATATATCTATCAATACGAACAATAATAACTCTCTAGAATGAAGTATAAATATATAACAATAGATTATACTACCAACCATTACCTTTCTATTTGTTATACTATTCAACAAGAATAATAAATTAATTTTTTCAACTCTCAAACATCTTCAAGAATCAAAACTATTTTAATGAAATTCGAATTTTTTGAGGTGGGAGGCTTGCTTTAAGGAAAAAAAAAATTTTTACTTACTCGATTATCAGTAGAAAAAAGTGGTGATTTTGATGGATCATAAGTTGATGTAATATTAAAACGTTTTGTAGA